TTCAACCAGGGCTTGGAAGGGGTGCAGCTTCCCAGTGGCCTACAGACCTTGACATTGGGCGACTCGTTCAACCAGAGCTTGGCAGGGGTGCAGCTTCCCATCGGCCTACAGACCTTGACCTTCGGCAATGACTTTGACCAGAGCTTGGAAGGGGTGCAGCTTCCCAGCGGCCTACAGACCTTGACCTTCGGCCGTTATTTCAACCAGAGCTTGGAAGGGGTGCAGCTTCCCAGCGGCCTACAGACCTTGACCTTCGGCCGTTTGTTCAACCAGAGCTTGGAAAGGGTGCAGCTTCCCATCGGCCTACAGACCTTGACCTTCGGCCCTTCTTTCAACCAGAGCTTGGAAGGGGTGCAGCTTCCCAGCGGCCTACAGACCTTGACCTTCGGCCCTTCTTTCAACCAGAGCTTGGAAGGGGTGCAGCTTCCCATCGGCCTACAGACCTTGACCTTCGGCCGTTCTTTCAACCAGAGCTTGGAAAGGGTGCAGCTTCCCAGCGGCCTACAGACCTTGACCTTCGGCAATGACTTTGACCAGAGCTTGGAAGGGGTGCAGCTTCCCAGTGGCCTACAGACCTTGACATTGGGCGACTCGTTCAACCAGAGCTTGGAAGGGGTGCAGCTTCCCATCGGCCTACAGACCTTGACCTTCGGCTTCGAGTTCAACCAGAGCTTGGAAGGGCTCCAGCTTCCCGACTCCTTACTTCGCTTCTCTTCGCGCATTGTTCAGGTAGACGCCTGTTAAACTCACAGTTCGCGGCTGCACGCCGTCAGACCCAAAACTTCAGGGTTTAGGGTTTAGGGTTTAGGGTTTAGGGTTCTAAACCCTAAACCCAAAACCCTAAACCCTAAACCCTAGACCTAAACCCTAAACCCCTTGAAGCCCTAAACCCTTGAGCTCCCAGAAATCCTGAAGCTCTAACGGTCCATGCACCTCATGCTTAGGCCCCGAAACCCTAAACCCTAAACCCCCCTATCCAGGAGGTACTTTAAGGGCTACGTATTCCAAATTCTTGTACATGGACCCTTAGGATATATCCCCAGGCTGCTCCTAAACCCTAAACCCTAAACCCCAAACCCCAAACCCCAAAACCCTAGCCCTATATGTGCCCTTAGGATAAAGAGCCTCGAACTGCTTCAGATGGACGTCCTGGCTCTCTTCCGCGATCTTCTTGCCGCCGTTGGCTGGGGTCTCGGGGTTCCTTTTTGGGATTCGGGGTTTAGGGTTTGGGTTTAGGGTTTAGGGTTTAGGATTTAGAATGTATATGCAGCAGCATTCGCTGAACCCCCCCCCCCCCCCCCTTCCCTCGTATGGTCCCCCGTATGGTTGGTGTAGAGTTTAGGGTTAGGCGCTGCAGGGTTTGTGTTTTCACTCTGCCGCTTGTGGTGGGTTTAGAGTTTTAGGTTCAGGGTCAAGGGTTTAGGGTTTCGGGTTTCCCCGTTTTCCCCCTGTTGTTCGTGGTGGGTTTGCCGCACCCAGCGAAGACATTCCAGAACCCTAAACCTAAACCCTAAACCCTAAACCCTAAACCCTAAACCCTAAACCCAGATTCTACACAAGCCGCCAGGCATCCACTATCCCAAAGGACCCGAAGCAGTCCTGCCAGGCTTTGAACGACTGCACCCTTCTTGGAGGTTCAGGGTGCTTAGCAACCCATTAGAAGTGTAGTTATGACTCACAGATCAGCTCCTTAAGTACCCTAATAGGGTTATGGTTGGTTACACGTGCAGCTATAATTGGGTTACTAAGTACTAAGTAAACCCTAAAGTGGCAAGGCAAGACCCCCACGAAGAAACCTCAGTGTCCCCAAAATACCACATAAGCACAAGGATCCTGATATTGGGGTAGAATGGCCCCTATGCAAAGGCGGATTTGGACTCCCTCGGCGTATGTGGTTTTTGGCCCCTTTTTGCTCTGAGCGTCAGGCACTTAGGCGGGCTTAGGGCTCAATTCTGAGGGTTTAGGGTTTAGGGTTTAGGGTTTAGGGTATAGTATACATATATATATATATACCCTCAAAGGGATCCAGAGCCAGTAAGATGATGCTTCCTTGGTTCCGAGTTCGCTCGCCATGCCTGAAGACCTAAACCCATCAAACCTCAGACTCAAAGCCTAAGCACATGAAGCGGAGCCCTAAACCCTGAGCTCTCAACCCTGAAGCCCTCAACCCTAACCTGAAACCGTAAACCTTGCCAGCTTGAGGAGACGACTTGAAGGCCTTGGCCCAATTCGAGGTGCCTCAATTCTTTACGATGGTATGAGCATGAGCCTTACGTCGGGTGCTCTCTTAGTAGCTGAATGCTTTTTGGGGGTGAAGGTTCTCCTGGGTTCTCCTCCCCCCCCTACTACGAAGGTTAGGGTGTGCACTATAGAGTACCAGAGTATCTGCTTGTGGGGATGAATGTCGTTCCCCTGACAAATGCAGCCAGGAAACGGGCAAGTGAAGGGTAAACCCTCAACCCTAAGCCCTAAGCCCTAAACCCTAGGGTGTTTAGGGAGGTTAGGGTTCGAGAGTGCGAAGTCGAAGTTTGCGAGCCCGGCCGTCCGAGTTGAAGTTAGGCACAGGTCTCCATGTGTCCCCAAACCCTGTAAATCTCAAGTCTAAACCTTCAAGTTCAAATCCAATGCCTTAAACCTGAAACCCTAAGCCCTAAATTCCTAAAACCTGAGCCCCTCAAGCCTGAATTCCTGAAGTCTCAACCCTGAGCCCCAAGCCCTAAACCCTAAACCCTAAACCCTAAACCCTAAACCCTAAACCCTCCAAGACCCCAAGCCCGGTCAGGCTGAGCCCATCAGTGAGACAAAGCTTTTCCTCTGAGGGGCTCCGCGCACCGTAGGAACCCTGGGTTGGTTTAGGGTTTCGGGTTTAGGGTTTTAGGGTTTTAGGGTTTTAGGGTTTTAGGGTTTTAGGGTTTTTGGGTTTTTGGGTTTTTGGGTTTTTGGGTTTTTGGGTTTTAGGGTTTTTGGGTTTTTGGGTTTTTGGGTTTTAGGGTTTTAGGGTTTCGGGTTTCGGGTTTGGGGTTTGGGGTTTAGGGTTAGGGTTTAGCGTTTGGGGTTTAGGCTTGAGGGCACCCACCCCACTACCCTAAAACCCTGCAGGGGCTTCATCCAGGCTTCGGCTTCTACCCGAAGGGCCCGAGACCTCAAATAGTAAGGTCTTTGGGCCCCCAAAACAGATGTGAATCACGGGGCCTCGGGCCCTAACCTAAACCCTAAACATCTAAACCCTAAACCCTGAACCCTAAACCTGCGGGTTTGGGTTTCAGGGTTGAGGGTTTAGGGCCCGCCCGCACATCCGTCGGAAAAGGCGCCCCAAGTTGCTTGCGAAGGGGTTTAGGGTTTGGGGTTTAGGGTTTAGGGTTTAGGGTTTAGGGTTTAGGGTTTAGGGTTTAGGGTTTGGGTTTGGGGTTTAGGGCTTAGGGTTTAGAGAACCCTGAATCTCCCCTCTCCCTTTCCCTCTCCCTCGTTACGGTCGGGTCCGGGCTAAGCTCCTAAGCAGGACTCGCGCGCGTGATGAGATAGGCCTGTTTCTGGTTGAACTCACTTTTTGGGGCCTTCTGATCTAGTAGGAATAGTAAAGCTTAGCCTTTTTTCCTTCCTTGGTTTTTGGCTAAGAAATGAAGGTGTTAGGGCTTTAGGATTCTGGATGTAGGACTCTAAGTTTAGGGTTTAGGGTTTAGGGTTTAGGGTTTAGGGTTTAGGGTTTAGGGTTTAGGGTTTTAGGCCTTGAGCGACCGCAGGATTTGGCTAGGGGTCTTGTGTTCTTTCAAGGCGCCAGCTCTTGCAAGTCAAGGAGCGAAAGACCAGGAGGGCCCCAAGCCCCAAACCCCAAACCCCAAACCCTAAACCCCAAACCCTAAACCCTAAACCCTAAACCCTAAACGAAGTCATCAAGGCCCTCAAAATGCAAAACCCCAAAGAGCTCCCGGACCGAAAAGGCCCCAAGACCTCATTTCGGAGAGGCTTTGAGGGTCTGCATTGAGAGTTTCAGGGTTCAGGATGCCCTAAACCCTAAACCCTAAACCCTAAACCCTAAACCCTAAACCCTAAACCCTAAACCCTTTTTTTGGAGTTCCCCTGGCTTCGGGGTTACCCAGCGCACAGCCATGGCTGCTGGTTGCTGACGAGCCGCTTCGGGCGGGTGGTGGCGGAAACCAGGCAGCCCTAAACCCTATAAACCCTATGAAACCTGTAAACCCTATAAACCCTGTAAACCCTAAAGACCCTAAAGCCCTAAACCCTAAACCCTATAAACCATAAACCCTGAAGGGTTTCAAGTTTAGGGCTTTTGTCTGGTTTTTTTAGGCTCGAAGACTCCTACCTAGACCTGCAAATCACCGCCTATGCAACAGAAGATACAAATGTTAGTCTAGGACCCAGAGCAGGCCCTTGTTCCCTTATAAGCAACCCTTGTTACTCTTAGGCTACTTTTGGGCCCATTAGTAGGCTCCATGGACGTACGGGGCACTGGACCCTAAACCCTAAACCTTTTAAACCCTAAAACTCCCCAATCCTACGTCCCCGAACCCCCAAAAAAGCCCTGACTCCCTCCCCAAGCCACAAGCCTAATTTGATCCCACTCTACACCCACAAACCGCTACGGGTAGTGCTCCTTAAACCCTAAACTTTGGCCCTAAACCCTCATATTCAGCTAGACCCCTCCCAAAACAAACACACCCCCCGTAACTTGGTTTTTCATGAGGCACATATGTTGGGGTACTTCCGGGGGGGGTCCAGGGAGCCCCCCCAAGCCCGATACCCCAGACCCTTAAACCCTAAACCCTGAGCTCCAAGCCCTAAACCCTAAACCCTAAACCCTGAGCTCAAAGCCCTAAAGCCCTAGACCCCAACCCTACAACCCTGAAACCCCCAGGCCCTGAGCCCAAAACCCTCAAACCCTAAACCCCTAAAACCCCAAAACCCAAAGCCCCAAAACCCTAAACCCTAAACCCTAAACCCTAAACCCTAAACCCTAAACCCTCAACCCAGGCCTCTGCGGCATGATGCCTCCGCCCCCATCGGACACTGCGAGCTTGTAGGAGACCCAGGTTTAGGGTTTAGGGTTTAGGGTTTAGGGTTTAGGGTTTAGGGTTTAGGGTTTAGGGTTTAGGGTCCTAGCCTAGGTGTACCCGGATTCAGGGCTGCGTGCTCGGGTTTGGGGTTTTAGGCTCCATGCTGGGTCGAGGGTTTCTCTAGAGTTTGGGGGGCTCGGGTTCAATTGGGGCTGGAGAGTTTGGGGTGTATGGTTTAGGGGCTCAGGCGATGGAACCCTAAACCCTTAACCCTAAACCATCAACCCTAAACCCAGGGTCTGAATGGGGTGTGGGACGGATTCTAGGTACATGTTTCCCTTGCTTGCTTCTCGGCATTCTTGTCCCCGATTGCAGACCCTCAATATCGCAAAGGGGTCCGGCCCAAACCTTCAAGCCCAACTGTCCAAACGTTCCCGTTGCTCTAGGACCTTAGGACTTCGATTCTTGGGGTGTAGCACCCTAAACCCGAAACACTAAACCCTAAATAAACAGAAGGCCCGGGTCCATGTCCCTGCATTACATATATATATATATATGTGGGCCACAAAAAAGCTTTATGGGAACCCCCTGTAAGGCCCCAAGTACCCTAAACCCTTTATACGTATACATATGTGTGTATCTATATGTACATGTGTGTAACATATATATATATATATAACATATATATATATATGTATATACATATACATATACATATACATATACATATACATATACATATACATATACATATACATATACATATACATATACATATACATATACATGTGTGTATATACATATATATATATATATATATCGGGTTCCTAAAGCCTAAACTTCGAGCCCTAAAGTCCTTCAAGTTGCCTTAAACCCGTAAACCCCCGAAACCCTGAACCCTAAACCCCTAAATCCCTAAACCTTAAACCCTAGACCCCAATCCCCTGCCTAACTTTGAGCCCAGGACAGGCCCGGGCCGTGTGTCCGTGTGCTGCCGTGTGAGGCCGCTTTTGCCCAATGAGGCCCGAGAATTGCTCGGAAACTGCGGGGGATGGGGGTTTAGGGTTTAGGGTTTTAGGGTTTAGGGTTTAGGGCTTCGGGTTTCGGGTTTAGGGGCTTAAGCCCTAAAGCCTAAACCCTTAGGATTTGCGAGGGGTTCGGGGTTTGCGGCTTGTTGATGGTTTGCTATGCTGTTGATGAGGAGTCTGTATCAGCAACTGCTAGACCCCGAACCTGCTCCATGCCGCCAGGGATGCTTTGTGAGGGTTTAGGGTTTAGGGCTTAGGGCTTGGGGTTTAGGGTTTAGGGTTTAGGGTTTAGGGTTTAGGGTTTAGGGTTTAGGGTTTAGGCAGAACATCCTTTGCGGGACAGTTCCGAAGCGTCCACCTGAAAGCCCTAAGCTCCCTAAACCCCAAAACCCGAACATCCCTAAGCCCTCCAGAATCCCTATCCCTCAAATCCCTAAACACCCGAAACAGAGGAACTCTTTGGTTATCTAGAAGCCTACTACATTCAAAAGGAAACCCTAAACCCTAAACCCTAAACCCTAAACCCTAAACCCTAAACCCTAAACCCTAAACCCTAAACCCTAAACCCTAAACCCTAAACCCTAAACCTGAACCCCCAAGTAGAACCCTGAAATCCCTGCACGCCAGGTTGCCCAAGGTTTCCAGCGCGCCCCGTGGGAGCTCACGGCCAGGCCGGGCTCCCGTCACCTCCGGCGTTTCTCCGGGGGGGTTTAGGGTTTAGGGTTTAGGGTTTAGGGTTTAGGGTTTAGGGTTTAGGGTTAGGGGTTAGGTGTTTGGGGTTTAGGGGCTTTAGGGTTTCGGGTTTAGGGGCTTCAGGGCTTGGGGTCGAGGTTATGGTTCAGGTTAGTGTAGGGCTTAGGGTTTAGGGCTCAAGGATTTAGGGCATAGAGGTGGGGTGAGGTGGCATCCACTCTCAAACCTCAATCGCCAAGCTTATTCTAGGGCTTGGAATAGTAATATTCCCTTATGGTCCCTTTGTAATTATGCTATAGGAACCCCCAAAACCCTATTCTACGTACTCAGGCCCCTCTGCTATGCTTTCAACCACCTGCCTCCAGAACCCTGCCCCTCTTTTCTGCAGGTCACCTCAGAATCCCAAAACAGGATTTGCAGTAAACCTACAGACAGGTGGGGTTTGGGTTCTTTTAGGGTCCAGCTTTCCCCCAACCGCTACTGGCAGCAAAAGGCAATGTAGAATTGTACTCTTACTCCAACTGTAATTCATGTAGGGTTTAGGGTTTAGCGTTTAGGAAGTGTCTAAGGGTAATTTAAGGAATTTAAGGAATTTAAAAAAAATTAAAGTGCCCTTAATGTGGTTTCTTATTTTCTATTTTCTTTAAAGGGTTCGGATAGAATGTTTCTTGGGCTGTGTACGGTATATATCGGGTGTAGAAGGGGTCCCCACTGTTTATGGGCCCATGCTAAGAGACCATGAAGCTACCCTAGGGCTTTTCTCTCGTGAAAACTTGGTTGTCCAACCAACGATCTCTTGTTTTGAAGACGCGTGCACTGAGCTTTGCATGCAACATGAATGAATTGAGAAACGCGTCCTATGGACTCTAGCAAGAAGAAGAAGCCTGCAACCTCAAACCCTAGCCCTCTGAACTCTAAGCCCCCAAAATATTTCAAAAGCCCTAAAGCCCTAGAACCCTAACAGCGTGAAAGCCTCAAAACCCCTAAACGCCCTAAACGCCCTGAAGCCTTGAACCCCAAAAGCCCAACAACTCTGAAGCCCCTAAACCCCTAAAAACCTAACCCCGGACTCGCACCCCTCTTGGGAGAAGGGGGCGGGGGGGAGGATGGTAGGGTGGTAGGGTGGTAGGGTTTGGGGTTTTGGGGTTTTAGGGTTTAGGGTTTAGGGTTTAGGGTTTCGGGTTTGGCCGAGGTCCATCAGCCTCCGGGAGCGTCAGCTGACCCGGGCAGAGTCTGAGCTCCTCCGTGAGGGCGAAGGCCACGCGAGCACCAAGTCGTCGGGGACTGAGCCGGTGGGTTTAGGGTTTTAGGGTTCAGGGTTTAGGGTTTAGGGTTTAGGGTTTAGGGTTTTGAGTTTTATGGTTCAGGGTTTAGGGTTTGGAGGTTTTGAAGGGTGATTAGGGTTTGGGGCCTTAGGTGGGGGGTTGTTTTCGGAAATCACCCTAGACCTTCTGCCGCCCTCATAAGTAGCGGTTGGCTTAGCGATTCTTTGTTTCATCCTGTTGCCTCTGCCGCCCTCAGAAGTAGTGGAACCCGATAAGGCTCCCCTGTTTGGCCCACTTGAAGGAGCTTCCTCCCTTTTGCTAACCCTAAACCCTAAACCCAAAACCCCAAAACCCTAAACCCTAAACCCTAAACCCTAAACCCTAAACCCTCTGAAGGGCACCTTCAACCATATTTTGGGGTTTACCTGGGCCTTGAGAGTTGAAACGCCCCATTTGAAGGATCCTAGATGCCCCCCCCCCCCCCCCCCCCGCACCCAGACACTAAACGGCAGCCTCCTAAACCCTAAACCCTAAACCCTAAACTACTTGTAGTCTTTGAGGTCTTCACTCCTGGAAAACCTCGGGTTGAGATGTGAGGGCTTGTCAAGGTTAGCGACTTGCGATTTGAGGTCTTCGGGCTTAGGGCTGAGGGGACCTCACAATGATTGCGAGTCTTCCTTGGCACTCACTTTTTGTTAGGGCAGAGGCCCGCAGCTTTCAAGATTTTTTGTTTGCTGCTCAGGAAAGAAGGGTGTAGTCTTACAAGGTATGTGATAGGGGTACCGAATTCCCACTTTCTCCACTATGGGCCTCAGGGCCCCTGAAGCCAAAAACCCTAAACCCTAAACCCTAAACCCTAAACCCTAAACCCTAAACCCTCTCACGATAAGGCTGAAGACCCGCGGCGAGCTGCGGAATCTGGATCACTTGCGCCCGGGCCCCAAGGGCCTTCGGGTTTAGGGTTTAGGGTTTAGGGTTAGGGTTTAGGGTTTAGGGTTTAGGGTTTAGGGTTTAGGGTTTAGGGTTTGAAGAATTTCTCGGGGCTCCCGCTACTCAATTGCTTCCACCTGGGGCGCCTGGGTCGAAGTACCCATAAGTGTTTAGGGTTTAGGGTTTAGGGTTTAGGATAAGTTCACTAGAGTCCCCCAAAGAGGCATCACGTGTGCTAGGAAGCTGGAGGCTTGATGGCAGTGTTTTTCCCCCACCTTCGGTGTGGGGTTGCTAGATTCTAAACTTCTCCTGGCCCGGTCTACTCCTGGAGACTCCCTGGAGTGCCCAAACCAGAGACTCCCTGGAGTGCCCAACCCCAGAGTGCCTCCCTGGAGTGCCCAACCCAGAGACTCCTGGAGTGCCCAACCCCAGAGTCTCCTTCCCAGAGTCCCTGGAGTGCTCCTCTTCCTCTTTTGTAAGCCCTAACCGCCTTCTTCTAGTTAACCAACCGGTCCGAGGTTTCAGGAGAACCCAGAATTCCAAAATCGCTCCCCAAATGGTAAAGCCTCAAACCCCTCCCTCCAGAGCCCCTTCGCCTCCCCCACCCCCCCCCCCCCCCCCCAACAAAAACGCCTGCCCCCACCCCCCCCCCCTACTACCCTACAAAAAGAAGGTTTTAACCCTAAACCTTCGACCCTCAACCCCAGTTTTGGAGATTCGTTTTGGATGCTATAGGTTCCTTATCGTCAAACTACCCGGTGCCAAAGATGGAACCCTTTTGAATCCTTGGTTTAGGGTTTAGGGTTTAGGGTTTAGGGTTTAGGGTTTAGGGTTTAGGGTTTAGGGTTTAGGGTTTAGGGTTTTCGGAGTTTTCGGAGTTTTCGGAGTTTTCGGGTGTTAGGCTTACGTCGCTTGAATTGACGAGGTCGGCCGGATGACGAAACCATCATGGACCATGTCTTCGGGGAGAGAGCGACGACCGAGGAGGCCCCCGGTGGCTTTCTCGGGCTTGCTATACGGAGCTTTACGTCCAGCTATTTGCCATGCACACGCTCGATTCCGTATGAGGGTAAACCTGAACCCCCCCCCCACCCCCCCGCCCCCTCCCCCTCCAAAAAAACGCTATCAGATAGAGATTTCCCGCGAAGGGTGTCCTGTCAAGTTAAGTTGTTGTTGTCAGTTGGGGCTCTGCACAGGGGCGTCGAGGTAGGGTTCTAGAGCATGTGATGGCACAAGAGTCACCTGTAAGGAGGAAGGGTTTAGGGTTGAGGGTTTAGGGTTTAGGGTTTAGGGTTTAGGGTTTAGGGTTTAGGGTTTAGGGTTTAGGGTTTAGGGTTTAGGGTTTAGGGCAAGCCCCGAAAGTTGGGGTACGTCTTGTGCCTCAGCCGTTCGGCAGTCTCGAACAGAGCTGTATTCCCGGCTGAGTTTCGCAATTTCGCAACTTGGTAGCCCAGCGGTACCCTTTACCCTTTTTTTGGTTTAGGGTTTAGGGTTTAGGGTTTAGGGTTTAGGGTTTAGGGTTTAGGGTTTAGGGTTTAGGGTTTAGGGTGCCCTTATTTAACATAGTTACTGAGCTACCAAGGCAATGAAGATGGTGGCCAAGCATTCCTTGGCCTTGGTGCTACTCAGTTCCGCGGTCGGCGTGAAATTCCACGTCGACCAGAAGCTCGGGTTCAGGGTCTAGGGTTTAGGGTTTCGGTTTAGGGTTTATTTAGGGTTTAGGGTTTAGGGTGTAGGGTTAGGGTTCAGGGTTTAGGGTTTAGGGTTTAGGGTTTAGGGTTTAGGGTTTAGGGCTTAGGGCTTAGGGCTTAGGGTTTAGGGTTTAGGGTTTAGGGTTTAGGGTTTTGTCTATTTGGGCAGGGATAAACCTTCTTACAGACCAAAGGCTTCCCTTTTAACCCCCTGGAGAATGCAGAACCCTAAACCCTAAACCCTAAACCCTAAACCCTAAACCCTAAACCCTAAACCCTAAACCCTAAACCCTAAACCCTAAACCCAGAGTCGGTGTAAGGAATGGCAACTTCTCACTTCGGGCTGGCGACCTTCCAGTTTGCAAGGGCAGCCTCTTGGCCAAAGCCGTGGCTGGGCAGGCACTTGGGGTTTAGGGTTTAGGGTTTAGGGCTTAGGGTTTAGGGTTTAGGGTTTAGGGTTTAGGGCTTAGGGTTTGGCATGTTGCATATTCCCTGATTGGGCTTAAGGGGATTATGTTAAGGAATCTTTTTTCAGAATGTTTCCGTGGCCAACCTAGGTGGGCAAGGACAACTGGCAGTGTGACAGCTTGGGAGGCGAAAAAGGGGCAGCGGCTGAAAAAGCGTGCAGTGAAAGCTACGACACTGACGCCGCCCAGTCTGTCTACATGCAGTGCAAGGTGGGCATCCCGAAACCCCCCCACCCCCCCCCCCACCCTCAACCCGAAACCCCAAACCCTAGACCCCAAACCCTAAACCCTAAACCCAATCACGTGCGTCTGTGCAACTCTGCAGCCCGTACTTCAAAACTTCAGCCCTCTGCCTCATTCTGACGCGTAGCAGTCTTCGTAGCCCCCTACTTGGCCTGTCGACCAGAAGCGCTTGTAAGACCTTGTGGACAAGCCCTAAACCCTAAACCCTAAACCCTGAACCCCAGACTGCTGCAATATTCACCCCAGGTGGAAGAGAGGAGTTCCACGCATTTCAACTGTTTGGCGAAGACACCTTGCAAGCCAGCAACAACTCCTTCCTCTTGCGCTGCTCTTGAGAAGATGGCGTTTGGCACAGGGAAGCAACTAGGCCCTTGGGATATTTCTCTATTGTTTCCTCTTTTGGGCTCAAGAGGATCGTTAGGAATGCTTCTCAGCGGGTTTGAAGTCCATCAAAGGCAAGAGTTTGTCAAGGTGATTGACTGGGACAAGGGAACTTCAGCAAACAATGGGGTCACCTTTGACGCAACGCAAGACTGTGTCAACGAGCTCTTCAAGCAGAACGGTGGTGTGTGGCTCATGGAGGTAAGCAAAGACGGCAGCACCTTTCACGAGTGGTCCGTGTACAAGCAGATTCAGGAGCGGGACGGCTTCGATGCGCATGGCTACATATACAACTGGAGGTCGTCCAACAACAAGATCCACAAGCAGTTCGAGCTGTACTCGGATGTGAACGACGCAATCTCCGACAACGCCAAGTGGGACCGATGCAACTATGACGATGCAAAAGCCGGCTTTGCTCGAGACTGTTGCTGCCGCTCACCGAGTCAGTCCTTCGAACCAAACAAAGGAGGAGGTGGCTGGGGATTCTTTGCGCCTTCCAGCTACCGTGGCAACATCCGCTGGTCCAAAATCAGGATCTCCATGCCAGTCGAGCCACTGAAGAAAGTACAACCCACCCAATCCAGCGTGAAGAAAGTTGAATCCGACCTCCCATCGTCGTGCTCGTCTCTTCAGGAGATGAAATTTGGCAACAAGAAGAGTGCCTTTGTCAAGGTGATTGACTGGGACAAGGGAACTTCAGCAAACAACGGGGTCACCTTCGACGCAACGAAGGGTTGTGTCAACGATCTCTTCAAGCAGAACGGTGGTGTGTGGCTCATGGAGGTAAGCAAAGACGGCAGCACCTTTCACGAGTGGTCCGTGTACAAGCAGATTCAGAAGCGGGACGGCTTCAATGCACACGGCTACATATACAACTGGAGGTCGTCCAACAACAAGATCCACAAGCAGTTCGAGCTGTACTCGGATGTGAACGACGCAGTCTCCGACAACGCCAAGTGGGACCGGTGCAACTATGACGATTCAAAGGCCGGCTTTGCTCGAGACTGTTGCTGTCGCTCACCGAGTCAGTCCTTCGAACCAAACAAAGGAGGAGGCGGCTGGGGATTCTTTGCGCCTTGGTGACCCAGTGGTACCCTTTTCCTTTTTTTGTTTGGTTATGGGTTCCCTGATATTCTACCCTAAACCCTAAACCCTAAACCCCAAAAATTGTGCCCTTAGTAAAGTATGGTTCCTGGGCTACTCAGGCGCCTTCCAGCTACCGTAAAAACATCCGCTGGGCCAAGATCAGGATCTCCATGCCAGTCAAGCCCTTGTGATGATTGTGACTGCCATACAGTGGTTTGCCGACAAGACATGCTTGGCACCGCAAAAGATGTGTGGGGCAATATCTGTGTTTCGGGTTGAGGCCTTAGGCGTTGTCATGCACGAACGTCTCAATACAGCGGTCGGAAGAATTACTAACGTCACTAATGGTCTTCCCTTATTAGGTCCCAAAACAATTCTGCTTCTGTACCCCCCCCCCGAAAAGAAAATAAGCTTCAACATACTAAAAACCAATATATATATATATATATATATTTTTTATTTATATATCTTATTTATATGTATATTTATTTGTTCACAACAGTTATTATTTTAATTCTTCAGGCCCCTATTTTTTGTTTGGGGGAGCTGAGGCTGAAGACGCCTCGGTCTGTAACCCAAAGCTGCGAAGCCCGTATGGCCGTAGGGTAGCGGGTTTAGGGTTTAGGGTTTAGGGTTTAGGGGTTTAAAACCCAACAGCCCAACACCCCAAAAGCATAATGTTTAGGGTTTGGGGTTAAACCCCTAAACCCTCTGAACCCGAAGCCCTAGCACACCCCCAAACCCTAATTAAACCCTAAACCCTAAACCCTAAACCCTGAACCCCTGCCAGGTGTATCGCCTGGCCTTTCGGGACATCGTCCACGCAGCTGCCGAGGCTTTCGGGTAGATTGGGTTCAGGGTTGAGGGTCAAGGCCCGTTCTTTTCAAGTGGGGTTTAGGGTTTAGGGTTTAGGGTTTAGGGTTTAGGGTTTAGGGTGTAGGTCCCATTCGGGTTCCGGAGTTTGGGAATGTAGCCGACATGTTTGGGGCTCTGCTTTGGAAGCCCAAAAGGCGCTGTAAAGCCAGTCGGTGCTTGGAGGTTCATGGTACTTACTAACCAAGTAGAACTGTACTTACAACTGTACTTATAACCATATTAGGGCACTTAAGGGGCTTCTAAGTGGGTTATAAGTGCAGTTATAATTGGTGAATAAGTACCCTGAACCTCCAAGTATTCTAGGGCTGAGGGCTTAATCCCCAGAGCCAAAGATCCTGTAACTCATAAATGCTCATTTTTTTTGGTGAGCAAGAACCACCCAAAACCCTCCGGGTTTCTGCAACTCCTAGCCCTGACTCGAAGCTCTTACTACCTGAAGCCTTCGAGCAGAATACCTTCTAATCCCCAAGCCGTAAACCCGAAACCCTAAACCCCAAAGCCCCAACACCCCAGGCCACAACCCCCTGAACATCTAGATGCAAGAAACCCAACAAAACCTCAGACCTGAAACACTGCGACCCGAAAGCCAAAAACCCCCGACTAAAGGCCCGGAAACATAAGCCTTAACCCTGGACCCTGAACACTCAGTCCCCACGACCCTGAACCCTAAATAACCCTAAACATAAAGCCCTGAATCCTTAGCCCCTGAATAACCCTAAACCCTAAAACCCTAAACCTAAACTGAGACCCTGAAAGCGCCTAAACCTCCAAACCCTAAACCCTGAGCTTCTAAACAACCCAGAGACTTAACAAAGGAACATCCCTTAAAATACAATAGGAACCCAAGTATGATTTAAGGTATGTTCCTTAATTAAGGGGTTTTGGAGTCTCTGAACACCCCTAAACCCTAATCCCCAGACCCCGGTCAGGGCATGAATGGTGCCATCTTGGCTTACGGCCAGACGTCCAGTGGCCCCTTGGTTTATTGGGTTTAGGGTTTATTGGCTTTAGGGTTTAGGGTTTAGGGTTTAGGGTGTAGGCTTACGGCCATAGGGTTTAGGGTTGAGGGTTTAGGGTTTAAAAGGTTTAGGATTTAGGCTTCAGGGTTTAGGGTTTCGGGGGGTTAAGGCTTTAGGCTTTAGGTTTTAGGCTTTAGGGTGTTTTTTTGGAGGTTTAGGTTTAGGTTTTTTGGAGCTGTTTGTTGTGTACAGACGCGCATTCTGAGTATAGAGCGTAGGGGCAGAGTACGTAACCTGAAACCTTTTTGGATACCATCATGTTCCTTAGATTGTAAGGTTCAGTGTGATCTTCCTCCCTCTAGAAGCTGCCAACCAGTAACTAAGAAGCAGAAGGTAGGGTTTATATTGGGCAAGTTGGCTTTCATTGATTTCACCTACTGCTCAACCACTGCACCTTGCTTACAAAGACGTTCACCCCGAAGACTAGGGGGTATAAGGAGGGACCCCTATACGGGACCCTCAATCCTATTCCCCTATATAACCCCTATATATACCCTATATAGTCCCTGTGTACCTACGTAGCTCCTCAATAACCCCAAATAATGCCTAAGGTCCCTTATAAGGGTCCCTCCTTTGGTCTTTTGAGTCGGAGTCTGTTGTAGGTTATTACTACGACCCTCCTTACGAGATTCTTCGGCGAGCTTCCACAAAAACTCAAGGCGTAGGAATCCTAAACAGCCTTAGGGGGTAATATAGGGTCGGAATAAATACTAATAGTATTCCCTTATCAAATATGCTATCATGACCCCAAAACCCTATTCTAATTATTCAGGCCCCTACAGCAGCCCTAATTCCTAAACCCCAAACCCCATATTACCGCTATTCGCCGGATCCCATCCCAGGGAAGACCTTCTCGATAAGTGGCTCCACGGCCTCGTGCTGAGATCACAAAGGGATCCAAGCCCCGTGTCCCCGAACATAGGGTTATAGGGTTACAGGGTCATAGAGTCACAGGGTCACAGGGTCATAGGGTCATAGGGTTTAGGGTTATAGGCTATAGGGTTTTAGGGTTTTAGGGGTTTAGGGTTATAGGGTTATAGGGCTTAGAGCTTAGCTGTCAAGGATTGTCAATGATGTGTTCCGAATATGGCCCTCCCTGCATGTTCTCAAGGGATTTTGCTTAGGGTTTAACGGTTTAAGGCTTATCGGGTTAACCGTTTAGGGTTTGGGGTTTAGGGTTGGCAGGGTTTGGGGTTTATGGTTTAGGCTCGGTAGGGCTTAGGGTTTAGGGTTTTGGGTGTGTTTAGGGGCAGGGGTTCACAGGGCGGGCTCTTGGCGGCTTAGTTTCTAGGGATGCAGATTTTGGCGTTTGTAGGGCCAGTGCCTTTGCACAAAGAGGAGAACAGAGGAGGTCTTTGTGGCAGATGCTGGCCAGCAGGGTTTAGGGTCCGAAAGTTTAGGGCTTAGGGCTTAGGATTTAGGGTTTAGGGTTAAGTGAGTCTTCTCTACACCCTCAACATAGGATCCTAAACCCTAAACACCCCCCCCAAACCCTAAACCCTAAACCCTGAACCCTGAACCCTAAACCCTAAACCCTGAACCCTGCTTCATGTTGCTTGGTTCTTCTCCCTGTTCGCACCGTCCGATGTAGAAGCGTTGGGCGTGCGGACTGCAGGATGAAGCTGAATGATGCCCATCTGGATACACATGTGAAGAGCCGGTTTAGGGTTTAGGGTTTAGGGTTTAGGGTTTAGGGTTTAGGGTTTAGGGTTTGGGGTTTAGGGTTTAGGGTTTAGCTGACACCACGCTCTTCACAGCGAAGTGTGTGAGCTCAAGCTACACTGCATCCGCTAGACAGAGAGCTGGACCCTGAGGAACCATGTGGCTTAGGGGGTTCAGGGGTTAGGGTTTAGGGTTTACTGTTTACAGGAGAGCTGCTGCACGTGAGACGTGTGCATACGGGGGATCCTCGGGCCTTCAACCCTAAATTCGAAAAAACCGTAAACCAAAAACCAAAAACCCTAAACCCAGAAGGTTTGGGGTTTCAGTTTAGAGTCTATAAGGATGTAGGGCCAGGGTTTGTGGCAGTGTCTTTCGGTTTCAGGCTTTGAGAGCTTCGACTCTCGGTTCTTTTGGGTTTTAAAGGGTTTGGGCTTGGGCCTTTTAAGACTTAGTGTTTTGGGATTGATGGACGACAAAGCTTGCCCATGACCACTTTTCTAGGGGTTTACGACCTTTGGGGTTATTGGGTTTAATGTTTCGGGTTCAGGGTTTAGAGCTTAGAGTTTACCCTAAACCCTAAACCCTAAACCTAAACCCTAAACCCTAAACTTTAAAGTAGGGTAGTTCATCCAGGCGGCGAGGGCGGATGGAGAGATGGGAGACAAAGGCCGGGTGTATGTCAGACCCTGAACCCTGAACTCTAAACCCTAAACCCTAAACCCCCCCAAGCCCCTTTTGAGGCACCAGGAAGCTCCGTGTTGAAACCTTAACCCCAGAACCGAAAACCCCCTAACCTTAAACTCTAAACCTTAAACCCTAGACCCAAACCCTAAACCTTAAACCCTAATCCTAAACCCCAACCCCGACCTCCCCCCTTGGCCCCTCGCCTATTTTTTGAACTGAGGCCCAAAGCCCTAGAGCCATAAAACCATCTAAATCCCCCAAAGCCTTCAAAAACCCAAAGTCTTAAAGCCCTAACAAATCCTAAAGCCCCTGAACCCAAGCCCGAAGCCCTTAAACCAAAACAACCAAGAAGGGGAGATCGCTCGAGTGCGTCTGGGACTCTCGGAGCTTAGGGGTTTAGGCGTTAGGGGTTTAGGGGTTTATGGGTTTAGGGGTTTAGGGGTTTAGGGGTTTGGGGTTTAGGGTTTAGGGTCGGGGGTTTGGGTTCGGGGTTTGGGGTTTGGGGTTCAGGGTCAGGTGTAGGGTGCAGCAGCAAGACACTTGGTGACTTGGAGCCTGGAGCGGCTAGAGAAGATGCCTAGTTGGAGGTTCATGGTACTTATTAACCATTTATCACTGCACTTATACCTGTACTTATAACCACATTAGGGCGCTTTTCATGGGTGCTTAGAAGTACAGCTATACTTGGTTAATAAGTACCCTGAACCTCCAAGTAGTTTCATGCAAAGCCGCCAGGTATCATTCACTTTGCCCTGGAGGACCTCTTTGCGGAGCTTCAGGGGAAGGTGCGGGATGCTGACATTGCGTGGGATTCTGGGTTTAGGGTTTAGGGTTTAGGGTTTAGGGTTTAGGGTCGATTTAGGGTTGGTAGTTGCGTGGCTTCAGGTTCCTGGGGGTCTTCTGCGTCCATAGGGTCGAGGGTTTCAGGTTTCTAGGGTTTAGGGTCTAGAGGGTTGTCTCTCCTTGTTTTGTTGGTTTCTCTCTCTCTCGCATTCTCTGTCCGTCTGCATCAACCCGAAACCCATAAACCCGAAATCCCCTCTCCGAAGCCTTCAGAGCCCCGTCCCTCCGTGTCCTCATCAAGACCCCAACAAAACCGAGAAGGGTTTCGTTTCGGGGTTTCAGGTTTTAGGGTTTGGGGCTTTGAGGGTTTTTTGGGGTTTAGGGTTCATGGTGTTGGGGTTAGGTTCAGGGCTGCAGGGTTTGAGGGTTCAGGGTGCATGTGTTTTAGGGTCCAGGGTTTAGGGTTCAGGGCTGCAGGGTTCTAGGGTTACCCTAAACCCTAAACCCTAAACCCTAAACCCTAAACCCTAAACCCTAAACCCTGCTCATGGTTTTGTGTTAGGGTCTTAGGGTTTAGGGTTTTAGGGCTTCGGGTTTAGGGTTCAGCGCTTTTGGGGCTCGAAGGTTTTAAGACATCACGAGCCTGATCCACGCCCCAACCCACCCCCCTCCCTTAAGCTAGTGTGGACCCAAAACTAACCCTAAATCCTACACCCTAAGCCCTAAACCCAAACCCCCGGTAACCCTAAACCCTAAACCCTAAACCCCAAACCCCAAACCCCAACGCTGCAATTCTGGACTCGGCCGCATTCGCAGAGCTTGAGTCGACTGTGGCTTACGGGCCTAGTCCGAGCGTTTAGGGTTTAGGGTTTAGGGTTTAGGGTTTAGGGTTTAGGGTTTAGGGTTTAGGGTTTAGGGTTTAGGGTTTAGGGCTGAAGAGAAGCTTCTGTGAGTTTTGGCCATGTGGGTTTGAGCCTGTTGAGCATCTTTGTATACCGAGAGACATCCCAGCCTGAAGGTGAAGACCCTAAACCCTAAACTGAGTTTAGGGTTTAGGGTTTAGGGTTTAGGGTTTAGGGTTTAGGGTTTAGGGTTTAGGGTTTAGGGTTTAGGGTTTAGGGTTTAGGGTTTAGGGTTTAGGGTAACTCGAAACCCTAAACCCAAACCCTAAATCCTGTTAACTTGTACGCGTGCTGTGTTGGGGTCCCAAGTAGCAGGATTAGTGGGGTGCCTTCTCCCATGTGCCCCTCCTAACATCCCTTGCTTAGTAGCAAGTCGGGCGGGGTTTAGGGTTTAGGGTTTGGGGTTTGGGGTTTAGAGTTTAGGGTTTAGGTTTCAAATTTGGGTTTAAGGGTGTAGCATGTGGGGGCGACTCTGCGGAAGCAGGTCTGTAGGCCTGAAGCCTAAACCCCCAAAGCCCCGAATATTTAGTCAGTATTCGCTGTGGCTTAAAATGAACGGTGTTTCCATCAGGTTGCTTTTCTCAAGCCGCGCTACATGTGAGTTATCTGAAAGTTCCACTCACTTCTGCGCCATTGCCATTGTTCGTTGAGTCTTGTCGGGTCGCCCTGCACATTGAGGCGGGCCCAATTGGGGGTCGGCTGCCAAGCGCCAGCATGCGGCCGTTGACCATCCACTGCCTTGCCGGGTCCACGTTCGAGCTCCATGTGGACGATGCGGAAACGGGTCGGGATGTCAGGAGACGTGTCGCAGAAAGTGTTGGCCTTCCTGCAGCGTCACTCGTGCTGACTTCGGGTGACGGTGTCCTCGCACTGCACCAGCCGCTGCGGCAGCAACTTCAAAACGAAAAGCTCACATACGTGGTGCAAAGATGTGGCGCAGGCCGTGCAGCACGCAGTATAAAGCAAGCGTTAGTAAAGACAGGATTGAATGACGACACGGATGCCATGGATGTCGTTGTTGCCTTAACCTTCGGCCGTGATTTCAACCAGAGCTTGGAAGGGGTGCAGCTTCCCAGCAGCCTACAGACCATGACCTTCGGCCACAGCTTCGACCAGAGCTTGGAAGGGGTGCTGCTTCCCAGCGGCCTACAGATCTTAACCTTCGGCAGCGGCTTCAGACAGAGCTTGGAGGGGGTGCTGCTTCCCAGCGGCCTACAGACCCTGACCTTCGGCGACTGCTTCAACCAGAGCTTGGCAGGGGTGCAGCTTCCCAGCAGCCTACAGACCTTGACCTTCGCCTGCCACTTCGACCGGAGTTTGGAAGGGGTGCAGTTTCCCAGCGGCCTACAGACCTTGACCTTCGGCGACTTATTCAACCAGAGCTTGGAAGGGGTGCAGTTTCCCAGCGGCCTACAGACCTTGACCTTCGGCGACTTATTCAACCAGAGCTTGGAAGGGGTGCAGCTTCCGAGCGGCCTGCAGACCTTGACATTCGGCTATGCTTTCAACCAGAGCTTGGCAGGGGTGCAGCTTCCCAGCGGCCTGCAGACCTTGATCTTCGGCAGAAGGTTCAATCAGAGCTTGGAAGGGGTGCAGCTTGCCAGCAGCCTACAGACATTGACCTTCGGCGACGACTTCGACCAGAGCTTGGAAGGGGTGCAGCTTCCCAGCGGCCTACAGACCTTGACCTTTGGCTATGTTTTACACCAGAGTAACCAGAGCTTGGAAGGGGTCCAGCTGCCCAGCGGCCTGCAGACCTTGACCTTCAACCGGAGCTTGGAAGGGGTGCAGCTCCCCAGCGGCCTACAGACCCTGACCTTCGGCGACTGCTTCGACCGGAGCTTGGCAGGGGTGCAGCTTCCCAGCGGCCTACAGACCATGACCTTCGGCGGCTGCTTCAACCAGAGCTTGGAAGGGGTGCAGTTTCCCAACGGCCTACAGACCTTGACCTTCGGCGACGTATTCAACGAGAGCTTGGAAGGGGCGCAGCTTCCACGCGGCCTACTGACCTTGACCTTTGGCGAATACTTCAACCAGAGCTTCGACGGGGTGCAGCTTCCGAGCGGACTACAGACCTTGACCTTCGGCGACAGCTTCGACCAAAGCTTGGAAGGGGTGCAGCTTCCCAGCGGCCTACAGACATTGACCTTCGGCGACTTATTCAACCAGAGCTTGGAAGGGGTGCAGCTTCCCAGCGGCCTACAGACCTTGACCTTCGGCTATCAATTCAACCAGAGCTTGGAAGGGGTGCAGCTTCCCAGCGGCCTACAGACCTTGACCTTCGGCTATCAATTCAACCAGAGCTTGGCAGGGGTGCAGCTTCCCAGCGGCTTGCAGACCTTGACCTGCAGCTATCAGTTCAACCAGAGCTTGGAAGGGGTGCAGCTTCCCAGCGGCCTACAGACCTTGACCTGCAGCTATCAGTTCAACCAGAGCTTGGCAGGGGTGCAGCTTCCCAGCGGCCTACAGACCTTGACCTTCGGCTATCAATTCAACCAGACCTTGGCAGGGGTGCAGCTTCCCAGCGGCTTACAGACATTGACCTTCGGCGACGACTTCGACCAGAGCTTGGCAGGGGTGCAGCTTCCGAGCGGCCTGCAGACCTTGACATTCGGCTATGCTTTCAACCAGAGCTTGGCAGGAGTGCAGCTTCCCAGCGGCCTACGGACCTTGACCTTCGGCAGGAGGTTCAATCAGAGCTTGGAAAGGGTTCAGCTTCCCAGCGGCCTACAGACCTTGACCTTCGGCGTTGATTTCAACCAGAGCTTGGAAGGGGTGCTTCTTCCCAGCGGCCTACAGACCTTGACCTTCGGCCGTTTGTTTTTCCAGAGTTTGGATGGGGTGCAGCTTCCCGACTCTGTAATGTGCGTCTCCACGTTCATTGTTCGGGTAGACGTTTGTTAAACTCTGAGGTCGCGCATGGAAAAGGCGCAACAAATGCACGGAAAGCAGAAATCCCCAGGCCTCGAACCCGGGAGTAGAGTTTGCGGGTTTTAGGGCCTCAGTCGGGTCCTATCAGCCCCACAGTGCCTAAAGCCCTAAGCTCTAAACCCTCTATTCGCTGCTTGACATTCATCAAACCATAGAAACCTCATAAACACCCCAAACAACTCTAGCTAAGCCCCGAAAGCCCTGAATGCTACAGAACCTTAAGACCTATGTCCTGTACCCCCTACAAGACCTATAAACCCCTCAAGCCTTAAAGAACCCTCAGCCCTAAAAACCCGAATCCCCAAAGTAAGGTTACGTTTTGGAATCCTAGCGTACTAGATATAGTTTGAGAATGTTTGCTCTTGTACTAGCAGTCCAGTGCCCCTATTAAAATCACTATTAAGGACTGTCAGTATAAGGGGGAACCTCAAAACATGTAGTTCCCGTTACCTTTTGGCAAACCCTAAACCCTAAACCCCAAACCCCAAACCCCAAACCCTAAATCCCAAACCCTAAACCCTAAACCCCAAACCCTATACCCCTAAAACGCCCGAAATAACCTTCACCCCAAGTACCCTAAACTCTAAGACCTCGGACACTAAACTCTATACGAAATACCAAACCCTTTAAACTCGCAAGCCCCTAAACCCCAAACCCTAAACCCTAAACCCTCAACCCTAAAGAAAAGGTTGGTAGCCCGCAGCCCATTTCTCCGGAGGCCTCAGCGACCAGTGGCTCTGAGTATTTGGTTCGGATGCCTCTTGCCTTGGGATTCAACGTCGATTTAGGGTTTAGGGTTCAGGGTTTAGGGTTTAGGATTTAGGGTTTAGGGTTTAGGGTTTACTTAGTAGCCAAAATGAGTACACTTTACATTTTTTGGAACTGAAAGTGTACCCTTTTTGAGATCCTCGCGTCGATTTACTGGGTTGTGCTTGGGGATAATTTTAAGTTCCCCTTCTCTCCCTTTTAAGGGAACCTAGTCATACATAAATTTCGAAAGGCTTTAAAGCACAACCCAGTTTAGGGTTTTAGGTTTCATGTTTGTTTTGGCATGTTTTGTTTATGGTGGGGTCTAGTGCTTTGAGTTTGCATAGTCGGTTCGAGGGGGTCTTTGGCTTTGAGTTTTTAAGCGTTGTAGATTTAGGGCTTACAGGGTTTTGAAGAGTAAAAGGGGCTTTCAAGGGTTTATACAGGGCCTGCACAGGGTTTATTTTGGGCGTATATTATAAGGCTTATATAGGGTTTGTATAAAGTTTATATAAGGTTTGTCGGGTTTAGGGTTGTGAGCGTTTCAGGTTTAGGGGTTGAGGGGGTTTACGGTTTTTAGGGGGTTCTGGGTTTAAGCGGGGGGGCCTAGGTGGAGGGCTTGCTGTTGGGGGTTTCTTCATTGAAGCCGTGAACCCTGACCTCTACACCCCACATTCCAGCGCGAACCCAAGTCCTAAGCCCCCTCAACTTTGGTCTTAGTTCAGCTTGGGTATCCGGATGTCCAGCAGTATACCTTCATTCCCTCTTTCTAAGGTCAAGATCCCGTGCTTTCCTCACGAAACAACTACAAAAGTGAGGGCGCACCACCCTTAAGCCGACCGGGATGATACGGCCCACGGCGATCCCCAAAGGATGCACACTAGTTGAACCTTAAGCCCTAAAGTGCCCGAAACCCAACCTTCCAACCTCAACCCCAACATAACAGGGTTCGGGGTTTAGGGGGTTTAGGGTTTAGGGTTTTGGGTTTAGGGCCAGTTAGGGTTTAGGGTTTAGGATATACGGGTGTTTTTGTGTAGTTGGGACTTTGTGGTTCATCTGTTCTTGTTCTGCGGAGTCCCCGGCCCCAAGCCCAGGTCGTATTGCGAGCTCTACATGGAGCGCGCCCGAAGCCTACTGTAATCTTAAACCCCAAACCCTAAACCCTAAGCCCCAAACCCTAAACCCTAAACCCTTTGAGGGGTTTTGGGGTGTAGGGGGCCCTTTTGGTCTTGTTTGGGCAGGGGTTGAGGCTTACCTTGAGGACCAAATGAACCCTAAAAATGAGGTCATATACCCGAAACTACTAGAGTCCCTATTCAGGTATACGAACCATATCCACTTTTCGGGTTCATGTGGTCCCCAAGGTATGGGGCTGACGGTCTTTTTCTGAAGCTTCTGTGCGTCTCTCGGGACTTCAAGGGGGTTTCGAACATAGGGAAGCTTTTCGGGGTTTAGGGTTTAGGTTTTAGGGTTTAGGGGGTTCTTCCTATAATGAGAAAGGTAGTGTTGTGGGATAGATATCGGGGATCCCTATTTGGGGAAACACCCAAGTGTGTAGATGATCTGAGGTGCTTCACGTTTCATGGCAGGGTTTTCTGCCCGTGAAGGCTGATGATATTGCACGGCTCCCCATACGGAGGCCCTTTTATAAGCTCTGAGTTCTAAGCGAGTACAGGCCCCAAAAGTCTGTAAGCTGAAATCCCGTTGAGCTGAATCTTGGTATTGTTGTTCGTTCGGGTTTTGACTGTTTGTAAAAATGGAAGTTCCGGAAGCAGGATGCGTGGGGCGGGAGCTGTTTTGCCTTTTTTTTGTAGGGTATCACCCTAAACCCTAAACCCTAAGCCCTAAGCCCTAAACCCTAAACCCTAAACCCTAAACCCTATCAGACAGTAGATTCCTTGCAACTCGACCAGGCGGCAGCTGAGAGCATGGTATGCTGCGCCGCACGTGAGCTGTACCCGGCGGGGCGATGTCTTGTGCAACAGCGCTTATGGCACTGGCCTGGAGAATGGTGGAGACACACACCATGCTATAGGAGGACCCTGAACCCTAAACCCTAAACCCTGAACCCTAAACCCTAAACCCTAAACCCTAAGCCCTAAACCCTAAACCCGAAACCCTAAACCTATAAGAGGGTTCGGGTGCACCACACAGGCTGGGGACCATGCGTTCATCCTGAAGGTCTTGAAGCTGGGCCCTAAACCCTAAACCCTGAACCCTAAACCCTAACCCTAAACCCTAAACCCTAAACCCCAAACCCTAAACCCTAAACCCTAAACCCTAAACCGTTGGTGCCGTCCTGGATCGCTTGCTTCGCTCCGTCCCTAAACCCCGTCACTGGGAAGGGTGGCGGTAAGAGCTCCCCGAAGACCCATCCCCTGCAGTCTAGGGTTTAGGGTTTAGGGTTTAGGGTTTAGGGTTTAGGGCTGAGTCTTAATGCCAAGCCCTAAGCCCTAAACCCCAAACTCTAAGCCCGAAACCGCAAGCCAACCAAGGGGCCTCCACCCTAAAGTAAACCCTAAGCCCTGAACCCCTAAACCCTAAACCCTGAACCCTGAAACCCTAAACCCCTAAACCCTAAACCCTTATAGGGCCAACCGGCAGTCCTGATCGTCTCAAACCACTACACCTTCTTGCCGAAAGCCCCCCCCCCCAACTTCCCAAGACCTAAGCCTCAAGCCCTGAACCCGAAACCCGAAACCCTAAACCAAAACCCTAAACCCTTGCAACCCTCAGCCTCTCCCGTAGCCCGGCGCGGCTAGTACCCAAAATACAAAACCCCCCGAAGCCTGAAATCCTCAAGCCCTAGACTGCTAAAGCTCCTAAACCCTAAACCCTAAACCCTAAACCGCCCAAAACTGCCTGGAGGCTGAAAGCTTCAGAGCCCCACACAGACCGAAACCCCAAAACCCCAAAACCCTAAAACGCTAAACCCTATAAATCCTAAAACCAGAAAAACCCCGAAACCCTAAGACCCTAAACCCTAAAACCCTATATAAACCCTATAAGCCCTAAAACCCTAAACCCCAAAACCCCCAAAACCCTAAATTCCCGGATTTCAGGTGAACGACCTCTTGCGGAAGATCGGCCCCCAGAGCAGCAAGCTCAGCGCACCTGCCAAGGCCCAAATCATGTGGTTTGGGGCCTTTAGGGGTTTAGGGTTTTAGGGGTTTTAGGGGTTTAGGGGTTTTACAGTTTAGGGTTTCGGGTTTAGAGCTTTAGGGGTTTTGGGTTGAGGGTTTCGGGTTTAGGCTTCAGGGTGGTAATTTGGGGGGCTTGCGGATGTTTCAAACAATGCAACACCCATCTGCACGAACGTCTACATCGGCCTTGCGTGCGGCCTCTACTCCAAAGCAGCTGAGTCCGGGGTTTAGGTGTTAGGGTCTAGGAAACAAGTCCTCTGAAACGCCCTAGACTCAGAAACCGTGTAAGCCCAAGAGCCCTGAACCCCAAACCCTCAACCCTCAACCCTAAACCCTAAACCCTAAACCCTAAACCCTAAACCTAAAACCGAATCTCAGGCCAGAACCTGACAGTGAAGGAAGACCCGGAAGGCCTGTTTTACGGCTTTGGGGCTTTTAGGGTTTTAGGCGGTTTATAGGGTTTTGGGTTTTGGGTTTTAGGGTTCAGATTTGTGGTTTAGGTTCAGGGTTTAGGGTGTTATCTCAGAACCCATAAAACCTGAAGCCTTAAGCCACACATGTAGGGTCAGTAGGGTCTGAGATGAACTGCAAGGATTTTGTGGTTTGGGGTGAACTTGGGCCCATAAAGGTTGCCTAGAGATGCCGAGAGCCAGACAAATGCAGGGCACATACGGTCATCATCATGGGGGTTTTCAGGTCCAGGCAAGGTGTTTTGGGTAGGGTTTAGGGTCTAGGGTCTAGGGTCTAGGGTTTAGGGTGTAGGGTTAGGGTTTGACAGAGTTCAGGGCGTCAAGACTATCTTCGCACGGGGGGTTGAGGGTTCAGGGCTTTTCGGTGGCCAGCAGTCAGACCTGCACCTTCTCCGCCACCCTGAGTCCTCAACCCGTAAACCTAACTGGTTTTTAGGGTTTAGGGTTTAGGGTTAGGGTTTAGGGTCTAGGGTGGTGACTAAGGTGGAATGAAAGAGTACCCTATATACTCCTTCAAAGGGTATATATATATATATATATATGTAGGGCCCTAATTCCCTCATTCCCTACTAAGAACCAGGGGGCTAATGGGTCCTGGTCCTTGGAGCGGCTATCCGAGACGGTCCACCCTGGAATCAGGGAGGTTGCTGTCTGTGACTGCGAGGTTGCTGGGGGCTTCTGAGTTTAGGGTTTAGGGTTTAGGGTTTAGGGTTTAGGGTTTAGGGTTTTGCTCTTGTTCCAAGAACACAGGAAGAAGGCGCAGACACAGGGTATGCTTCATATTCAGCTTTTCGTGCGTGTTCCTTCTAAACATCAGTGAGAGTGTGGATTGGGAGGGGGGGGGGGTGTCCTTTTGGAATGCCCTAAACCCGAAACACTGAACCCTACTTCACGTAGACCTTAGGCCGGAACGGCAAGTAGGCCCAGCACCTCGAGATAGCGGCAAGCTGTCCCCTAAACCCTAAACCCTAAGCCCTAAACCCTAAACCCTAAACCCTAAACCCTAAACCCTAAACCCTGACCCCGAATGGTGTTTAGGAGTCTCTCGGTGGTTTAGGTACGCGGATCCTTAGGGTGTTTAGGGTTTAGGGTTTAGGGTCTAGGGTTTACGGTTTAAGGTTTAGGGTTTAGGGTTTAGGGTTTCAGGGTTTAGGGTTTAGGGTTTAGGGGGTGTTGTGAGGTCGGGGCTTCTACGCTGACGGCCTCAAGGAGAAGATCGTGTCTTCTGCAGAGGAGGCGGAGTCTGCAGATGTGGCGGTTTAGGGTTTTGGGTGGGTTCAGGGTTTGGGGTTTAGGGCCTAGGGTTTAGGGTGTAAAATTTGGGGCTTAGGGTTTAATATTAATATGAAGCAGAAGGCGAATAATAATGATAATACGATTAGTAAGACTGGTGGTAATAATATTGTTTACATATATATTATGTACAGAGAGATACGTCTATAGTATGCTTTTTTTATACACATTTTTTGTATTTGTGTATACATCTATATATATATATGTATATATATATATATATGTCTTCTTTGTTTATATAGTAGGTAAATCGAGTCTTAGGTAGGGTTTGGGGTTCTGGGGGCCTCTCGGCTCCTGGAGGGTTCAGGCTTTGGGCTTCTTTTAGGGCTTAGGATTTAGGGTTTAGGGTTTAGGGTTTCGGGTTTAGGGTTTAGGGTTTAGGGCCAATTAGGCCCCCTCAACCCTAAGCGCGAAACCCACAACACTGTAATCCGTTGACCACGCCTCAGGGGTAGCTTAGGACACTGGTTCTTAGTAGAGAGACAAGGTACTTCATCTCCATATTCTACCCTTTACAGGGGATTATGTCCGGTACAGCGACAAATTTTCTTAGCTTCCGACAAAGAACCAGCGCCATAGGGAACCCTAAACCAAGCCCTGAACGCTAAGGGAAGCTATTTGTTCCTGAATAATCCCTTACCTTCTTTAAAAGGTTCTGGAGTATGGTCCCCTGGGTCGGCATATTAAGGGGCCATATACCTACCCTCAGATGAACCCGAAGCAACGCAAACTCCCTCAGAACCAGAAAGAAGGTCCTGGCCCTCTTCACGGAAGCAGAGAAGAGGCGGCGTGTGGCGCACACACGGTACAACGAGGCCGTCGGAGTAGGGCTTGCGAGGGGCGAGAGGGTTTAGGGTTTAGGGTCTTAGGGTTCATGGAGGTTCTTACGGGTTTGTTTCTGGTGTTCGTAGGTTTGCGAATGGGATTTGTTAAGGGGGCTTTTACAGGCCTTACAGGGCTTATAGGGCTTCAAGGCTTTCGGGGATTTTGGGGCGATTCACAGGGCGTTTCGGGTTTGTAAGGCTTCAGGGTTTATCTCGGCTTCCCAACTGGGGGTTCCCTGAAGGTTGCCTTTGAAGTTCTTGGGTTTCTTCGGTGCTGAGAAGGCCTTGAACCAGGTGACCTATAATTGACTTGTTCTGAAAAAACCTGCCGTTAAACACCCCAAGTTGGATGTTCCCCCTTATACTAACAGTCCCGATTAAGGACTGTTAGTATAAGTAAGGGGGAACATCCCAAACCCAAAGCCGTAAGGCCGAAACCGTCAACGCGAAACCCCGGAACCCCCACAAAATCTCGAAGTTCTCCCTCGTAGAAAAAAATCGCCCTAAACCCTCAACCCTAAACCCTAAACCCTAAATCGGAAAATGCACATCCTCTCCGAGGTGTCCTCAAGGTCTCACACGCTGCTGACGCTCTGCGTGGAGTGCTCCATGCCCCTGGAGGCATCCCATGTACACGAGAGGTTTGGGTTTAGGGTTTAGGGTTTAGGGTTTAGGGTTTAGGGTTTTTGGGTTTCGGGTTTTAGGATTTTAGGGTTTAGGGTTTAGGGTTTAGGGTTTGGGGTCTAGGGTTTAGGGTTTGGGGTTTGGACGTTTAGGGTTCGGGTTGAGCAGTTTTCAGGGGTTGCGCCATAGGCTGTTCTCCCGCAGGCTCCGAGTCCCTTTTAGACTTACCCTAAACCCCAAACCCTGAAAACCCTAGGCCCTAACCCCGAACCTGAAACGCCTAAACCCTGGAGTAAGGCGCCTTTTCCCAAGGACTTACCAACAAAAACCTAGACCCGAACCCCAATCCCCCTAAACCCTAGATCCTAAATCCTCAAGACCAAAACTCCCTTAAGCCCTAAATTTAGGAGCCTCCGGCTCAGGCCGCCGACCCAAGAGGCCCGAAACCTCTCAACCCTCAAAGCCGGAAATTGTTGTTACCCTAAAGCTAAACGCTAAACTCTGCACCCTAAACCCTAAACCCTAAACCCCTAAACCAGGGGTCCTGCGAAATCTGGCTAAGCTGCAAGCCCAAACCCCGAACGCGAGACACGAGTCGAGTCGGTCAGGACCTAAACCCCAAACCCTTCAAATCCCGTGCCTCTGTCTGACTGGTGCTCGCGATGGCAGGGCGACGTGCCGCTGGGCGAAGATCCCGAGCCAGCTCAGGTTGGGGTTTAGGGTTTAGGGTCGAGGGTCTAGGGTTGAGGGTTTAGGGTTCAGGTTTAGGGTTCAGGGTTCAGGGTTCAGGGTTTAGGGTTTAGGGTTTAGGGTTTAGGGTTTAGGGTTTAGGGTTTAGGGTGGCGCAGGTTTGGTTTCCTGGTTTTAAGTGGGACTATGGTTCTTTGGGCTGCTCCTGGGTTAACCGAAGCCCTAAGCCCGAAGCCCTAAACCCCTAAATTCAGGCTGGGTGGGTTGTTATAAGGGCTTCTGTTCAGGGCTTGAGTTCAAGGTTGAAATTTGTCGACTTCGGAGCTCAAGATGGAACTTGTTGTGGGGTCGGCAGTGATAACGGTCTAGGGATTAGGCTGTAATTAGGGGTTTAGGGTTGGTTTAGGGTCTAGAGCTTTAGGGTTGAGACCAATGCACTCGTATATTTGTTTTCGGCGGGGCTCCCATGAAGAGCCCAATAGAGGGCCCGGTTGCGACAAGAAGACGGTGAAGTCCAAGGACAACTTGACAGACAAGATGAAGAATTCCACTTTCGTTGACCTAAGAACATGACTGTACAAATACATAACTACATGAATAAGTGTACAAATACAAAGAACAGATATATATGTATATATGCATATGCGATGTGAGCTGTTCTATGATGTTATACACGCTTTCTGTAATCGTCCTCCTTGCCATTGAAATTGTGAGTCCGTCGTCGCAGTACCCTTTTTCCACGCATGCTCTCGTCATGGGGATTCCAAAATTTGGGGTACCTTGTGGGGGTCCATATCATAACGGAGTGCAGCTATTTGGGGTCTATATTAGGGGGTGTCCCTTATTTTCGTAGACCCTCATATCAAACACTCCAGCAATCCCGTGAGGACGCGTACACACGGAGCTGGGACGGCGTTGACACGTGGACGACTTACTGTTGGTTAGTAGGGAGTGGGGGAATGAGGTACCCTATATCCCCCTATACATACATAGCCTTTAAGGGATTATATAGGGTACCGCATTCTCCCTAAACCCCAAACCCTAAACCCTAAACAGTAAGACCAGGGAACAAAGAAGAAACAACGTGCTGCGTCCAGCATCTCGCCCAGTTCGCCCAGGGAAACAGCTTGGAGCCAGCCTGCACAGGCCAGGCAGGGTCACAGCACTTTCCATAGGGTTTAGGGTTTAGGGTTTAGGGTTTAGGGTTTAGGGTTTAGGGTTTAGGGTTTAGGGTTTAGGGTTTAGTGGTTGGGGTGGAGGAAGAACGCAGCAATGTGCTGCAACCCGTGGCTGTACTTCGATGCAGCCTTGCACACTGCTGCCTTTGCAGATGAGGACCGACTGAAGAAGTTCGTCTGCGACCCTCTCCGAGAAACCCTATGGGTTGTTGCGGTTTAGGGTTTAGGGTTTAGTGTTTAGTGTTTTAGCCCTACACCCCAAATCCTGAACTCGAACAGCCCCCCCCGAAATGCCACCACAGGTGACCCGAATTGGCCGCCTGGTCATCGTGGACCTAGCGGGCAATGAGCGTCTGGAGGCCTGGCTCAGGATGTAGGGTTTCGGGTTTAGGGTTTAGGGTTTAGGGTTTAGGGTTCGGGGGTGTGGGCTCCAGGCTTATTCCCAATAAGTCCAGGGCTCCGAAGATTCGGCTTCTTTTTTTTGGTACGGATTTCTAGATATTTGGCTTTCGGTTACAAAGTAGGTACTCTGTAGAAGCCAAAAAAGTTGGAAACTCAAAAAGCCTCAACCCCTAAGAGTGAAGTACAGGGACTCCCAGCACTAGTTGTCCTTAAACAGGTGTCCAACCTTTTGGGTTTACGGCATTCCAGAGGCATTGTGCTCTCGGGATTGTTTTGGTTGAGGGCTGCCTCTTGTTGGAAGACGTCGCTGTGTTGTTACGCAGGCAGGCACCGAGTACGTCGCAGAGTCCAGCAGCATCAACAAGTCCTTGTTTTTCTTGGGCAAGGACCGCGCGACCCTAAACCCTAACCGCACAAAAGCCCCTAAACCCTAAACCCTAAACCCTAAACCCCAAACCACAAACACCCTAGACCCTAAAGCCCTAAACCCGTCAACCCTAACTTCCCGGAAGCTCTAAACCCAGACCCAGGACTTGGCATTCAAGAACCGTTGGATTCAAGGAGGGGTCTGGCGTAACAGTCCACAATGGTAAAGTGTTGTAATATATAATAAGAACAATATCATAGGAAGAAGAAGTTCCTACTGTGTAGGTTCATGGACTCAAAAAGGGAAGTCAGAATATTGTGGCGCAGACAATAATCTACCACATCATAGACTATAGTACACACTGCACAGATATGTGTAGCATAGTGGCGTAGCGCAACTTATTTTGGCAGAGATCGGGGGTGCCTTGATCGTGGCAGGCTTTCGGGCTTTTGGGCTTGAGGGGGCTAGAGTTTCAGGTTTTAGGCTTTAGGGTTTAGGGGTTTCTGGTGGTAAGGCAGTATGAAAGGTGGGGGAGTAGGGTTTTGGGGTTTTTGGGGAGCCTGGAAGCTTCTAGGAGGAAAACTCTAAACACCCCAAGCCACAAACCCGAAACCCGAAACCCTAAACCCGCCCGCCACCCCCTGCCGTGTAGGCGGGCACATACCCAAAGAGCCCAACACCCCTTAATTACGGAATACAGCTTATAATTTATATAGGGACCCTTAATACGATTTAAGGTCTATTCCTTAGTTAAGGGGTATTGGACTCTTTGGGTCGATATTGTAGTACCAAGCACATCCCTGGGCCGCCCCCTGGAAGCCTCCTGGCCTTCTTGCTGGACCTTAAGGGACCTTCAACCTGGAAAACCCTAAACCCTAAAACCCTAGAACCCTAAAACCCTAAAACCCTAAAACCCTAAAACCCTAAAACCCTAAACCCTAAACCCTAAACCCTAAACCCTAAAACCCTAAACCCTAAAACCCTAAAAGGCTTTTTTCGCTGAGACGCCGGTTGAAAGGCCCGCAAGACCCCTGGCGGGAAGATCTTGAAGTCCGGGCCTGCAAAGCGTTTGGGGCTGTAATTCCTTTGCTCGCCCGCCCTGCAAGCCTGCTGGTCCCTCCAGAGCAGCAAAACGCGTTCGTCCCTTGCACTCAAAACTTCACGGGGGTCTCTTTACCTTCTGGCCCAAGTGACCTTGTGGAGGCCCCTTCATAGAGGAGGGCAAAGCCTCCCTTGCGCACAAGCTTGAAAGACGGTCTCCTCTCGACGGCCAAGACAGTCCCAAGTACAAGCATTGAGGGGGGTATCCTTGCTTTCTGGCTCCGGAGCGACCAGGATCCAATGACTCAAAGTTTCTAGACTCTAGGCCAATTTGCCAGAGTGAGCTCACTTCGCAAAAGTTGGCCAAAGGACTCGAGGCTTTGAGGGTCCTTCGGCCCAGACCGTTCCTACTGAGACCATTGAAGGGGGGGGGTATCCTTTGCCTTCTGGCCCAGTGCCCCAAGTGTTCCGTGTGACTCAGTGCTCCAAGCATTGCAAGTATCCAAGTCTCAAGTGTCCCTTAAACGTGTGCCACATGTGAATCTGGCATGGCTGTGGCTTGGTTTGGGCTCCGGTCTGGGTTCGTGATGAGTGGTTAGTGTTCGGGTGGCCTTGGGGTGGGCATGTCTTCACACTGTTGCGTTCAGCTGACCCATGGCCCAAACCCCAAACCCCAAACCCCAAACCCTAAACCCTAAACCCTAAACCCTAAACTTCCTACGCTTCCTAAACACCCTAAGCAGGGGATTTTTGGTGCAGGTCATCGAAAAGCTGGCCGCCCGCGGGTCGCGCGGCGTGGCACCTCCCTCAGTCTGCGGAGGGGGCCTTTGGGCCTCAAAAGGATTTCGGGTTTGGGGAAGATTTTTCAGAGAGAGTCTTCCAGGGATGTTTAGGAGGGCTTTCATTCGAGATTCAAGGCTGTGAGGGCGCTTCTGGTGTCTTGGTTGGGGCCTAGGGCTTAGGGCTCAGGGCATTTTTCCGATTTTCTTTGCTCTAGGCCGATGAGGGGGGCAGAATTCGGGCCTGGTGCCGGCAGAAGCCGGCATGTGGCCATTGACCATCCACAGCGTTGCCGGCTCCACGTTTGAGCTCCATGTGGACGATATGGAAACGGGGCTGGATGCGCGGACACGCATCGCAGGAACTGTTGGCCTTTCCGCCGCGTCAATCGTGCTGACTTCAGGTGGCCGTCTCCTGGAGCTGCAGCAGCCGCTGTTGCCACAAATTCAAAACCAAGAGCTCGCATACGTCGCTGTTAAATTTGGTGCAGGCTGCTCGGCACGCAGTCTAGAACGAGCATTAGCAAGAATGGCATTGAGTGACGACACGGATGCCATGGCTGCCATTGTTGCCTTAGCCTTCGGCTATGATTTCAACCAGAGCCTGGAAGGGGTGCAGCTTCCCAGCGGCCTACAGACCTTGGCCTTCGGCGCTGATTTCGACCAGAGCTTGGAAGGGGTGCAGCTTCCCAGTGGTCTACAGACCTTGACCTTCGGCCGTGATTTCAACCAGAGCTTGGAAGGGGTGCAGCTTCCCAGTGGTCTACAGACCTTGACCTTCGGCCGTGATTTCAACCAGAGCTTGGAAGGGGTGCAGCTTCCCAGCGGTCTACAGACCTTGACTTTTGGCGGCTACTTCCGACAGAGCTTGGAAGGGGTGCAGCTTCCGAGCGGCCTACAGACCGTGACTTTCGGCACCTTATTCGACCAGAGCTTGGAAGGGGTGCAGCTTCCCAGCGGCCTACAGACCTTGAGCTTTGGCACACGCTTCAACCAGAGCTTGGACGGGGTGCAGCTTCCCAGCGGCCTACAGACCTTGAAGTTCGGCGATGATTTCAACCAGAGCTTGGAAGGGGTGCAGCTTCCCAGCGGCCTACAGACCTTGACCTTCGGCCATGATTTCAACCAGAGCTTGGAAGGGGTGCAGCTTCCCAGTGGTCTACGGACCTTGACCTTCGGCGAAAGCTTCAACCAGAGCTTGGAAGGGGTGCAGCTTCCCAGTGGTCTACAGACCTTGACCTTCGGCCGTGATTTCAACCAGAGCGTGGAAGGGGTGCAGCTTCCCAGCGGCCTACAGACCTTGACCCTCGGCTTCGAATGCAACCAAATCTTGCAAGGGGTGCAGATTCCCAGCGGCCTGCAGACCTTGACTTTCAACGATACTTTTGACCAGAGCTTGGAAGGGGTGCAGCTTCCCAGTGGTCTACAGACCTTGACCTTCGGCCGTGATTTCAACCAGAGCTTGGAAGAGGTGCTGCTTCCCAACGGCTTACAGACGTTGAGCTTCGGCTCTGATTTCAACCAGAGCTTGGAAGGGGTGCAGCTCCCCAGTAACCTACAGACCTTGACATTCGGCTATCCACAGTCCTTGACCTACGACTCTGTTTTCAACCAGAGCTTGGAAGGGGTGCAGCTTCCCAGCGGCCTACAGACTTTGAGCTTTGGCACACGCTTCAACCAGAGCTTGGACGGGGTGCAGCTTCCCAGCGGCCTACAGACCTTGAAGTTCGGCGATGATTTCGACCAGAGCTTGGAAGGGGTGCAGCTTCCCAGCGGCCTACAGACCTTGACCTTCGGCTACCGCTTCAACCAGAGCTTGGAAGGGGTGCAGCTTCCCAGCAGCCTACAGACCTTGACCTTCGGCCATGATTTCAACCAGAGCTTGGAAGGGGTGCAGCTTCCCTGCGGACTACAGACCTTGACCTTCGGCGATGATTTCGACCAGAGCTTGGAAGGGGTGCAGCTTCCCAGCGGCCTACAGACCTTGACCTTCGGCTACCGCTTCAACCAGAGCTTGGAAGGGGTGCAGCTTCCCAGCAGCCTACAGACCTTGACCTTCGGCCATGATTTCGACCAGAGCTTGGAAGGGGTGCAGCTTCCCAGTGGTCTACAGACCTTGACCTTCGGCCATGATTTCAACCAGAGCTTGGAAGGGGTGCAGCTTCCCAGTGGTCTACAGACCTTGACCTTCGGCCGTGATTTCAACCAGAGCTTGGAAGGGGTGCAGCTTCCCAATTCCCTAGTGCGCTTCTCCTCACGCTCTTTTCGGATACATATCTGTTAAGCTCCGGGGTTGCGAGTGGAAAAGGGGTTGGCGAAATGTGCAGCCGATCTCGCATTCTCGCCCGCCATGTTCGGAGGGTTGAGGGTTTAGGGTTTCGGGTTGAGGGTTTAGGATTGAGGGTTTAGGGTTGAGGGTTTAGGGTGTGGAGGTTTAGGGTTTAGCGGTTTCAGGGTTTCCGGTTTTGGTTTAGGGTGAAGCTGCAGGATCGATGCGTAGATTGGAGTGGGCTGGGGCCCCTCTGCTCTAAACCCAAAACCCTACACCTTAAAACCAGAACCCTAAACCCGAAACCAGATCACAAAGATCTTCACGGCTTACGATATTAGGGGTACCTTGTTGGCCCCAACTACCCTGTATAGCACGTACATCAAGGCCTAAGTATTCCCTATTTAGGTACATGGACCCTTAGATTTGCAAGGGAATCCTATTATTTGAGGGGCTACTTTAGTGGTTCCCCATTTTCGTAAACCCACACGTGGGCTCCCACACCTGAGCTTTGCTAAACCCTAAACCCCAAACCCCTAAACCCCAAACCCCAAACCCTAAACCCTAACTCTAAACCCTAAACCCTCAAAAGGCTTCTTCGACCGGGCCTATGATAAGCCATCTCCCAGGTTTGACCCGAAGAACCCCCAAACCCACCCTAAGTCCTAAACCCTAAACCGCAAACCCTCAGTCCTAAACCCTAAACCGTAAACCCTAAGCCCCCAAACCCCTAAACCCTTCTTCCTCGCAGGGTGCCAAAGAATCCTGAAAAGAGGTTTCAGCGTCATAGCCCAAGAACCACATGGACTGATGGCCATCAAGAAACCAAAAACCCTAAACCCTAAACCCTCTATGAACTTGATGGCTCCACCCAAGGCCGGCGAGGAGGGTGACCATGTGCCGTTTCGGGACTCCAAGTGGCAGCCTGAGGTCAGGGTTTGGTTTTGGGTTCAGGGCTTAGGGTTGAGGGTTTAGGGTTTAGGGTTTTGGGTTTTGGGTTTTGAGGTTACATGCTAAGTCTACCCTAAACCCTGGACCCTAAACCCTTAATACTACCTGCCCCATGGAGCTGAACCGTGATATTTTGGGTAGGTGGGGTTAGGGTTTGGGGTTTGGGGTTGGGGTTTGGGGTTTGGGGTTTGGGTTTGGGCTTTAGGGTTTAGGGTTGTGGGGGCGGTGGGGTGGGGGTGTAGTAGTTACAACAGCTACTAGTACGAATAGGAAGTTTAGCTTTGCCCATGTTGTCAAGGGGTTTGCAGGTTGATGCTTGGAGATGAATCGTCGGTTCCGCTTGTGGGGCGTTCTAGGACTTGGGGTTTTGGCTTGGTTTTGTTCTCGGTTTACTTTGGGCTTGCATGGGTTGAGCGCTTGCATAGGGTTTGGGGGGGCGTCGGGTTTTGGGAAGCTCGTGTTGAACCCTAAACCCTAAACCCTAAACCCTAAACCCTTGAGAAGGCAGGCTTGGTTGCCTTGGCCCCCAAAGCCTATGGACAAGCACCCAAGCTCTTTCCCTGATTGTGGGGGTTAGGAGGTTAACACGACCCCACCCCCCCCCCCTCCCCCACCCCGAACATCCCTAAATAGCTGATCTAAGTTTAGGGTTTAGGGCTTAGGGTTTAGGGCTTGGGGCTTGGGGCTTAGGGCTTAGGGTTTAGGGTTTAGGGTTTAGGGGCGTATCCCTACAGTCCACGCCCTAAATCTTCGAAAGCGCCCGAAATGCGTGAACGCCGTGCCGTTGGAAGCCTCAGGCCAGCCACCCGATAATACTCATCATAGCACTCACAAACTAGTATAGTAATAACAATAATGGCAGCAATAATGGTTTAACAATTGTACAGTTTCGTAAACAGTAGTACATCATAGTAGCAGTAGTGATAACAATAAAAGCAGTAGTAATAGTAGTAATGGCAATAATAGTCTTGGACCCCCACTTACCCCCCACCCCACACCCTACACCCTGAACCTTACCTTACCCCCCCCCCCCCCCCCCCCAAACCCTAAACCCTACAACACCCCCTGAACTAAACCCTAAACCCTACACCTGCAACACGGTTTAGGGTTTAGGGTTTAGGGTTTAGGGTCCTTGGGTTTCTAGGCCAGGCACTTCCAAGCTTGATGCTTCTCCGAATCACAGACTGGAATGCCCCTTCTAAGTCTACACAAGGGTTTAGGGTTTAGGGTTTGGCGTTTAGGGTTTAGGGTTTAGGGTTTGGGGGCACTATTTGCTCAAGAACCCCCCCCCCCCCCCCCCAAAAAAAAAAAAAAAAATAAGCAAAAAGCGAAAATGTTCTTCCTCATAAGGGCATTCAATATAGGGATCTTTGCTTTTTTGGGGGTGCTTAATTAAGCAAATCATAGAAGTAAGGAATCCACGACTCGTACGAAGATTTAGGAAGGTTCGCCGAAACGCGTCTCGCCGATCTGAGGCCCAAAACCCTAATCTAAACCCCTAAACCCCTAAACCCCTAAACCCCTAAACCCCTAAACCCCTAAACCCCTAAACCCCTAAACCCCTAAGCCCCTAAGCCCCTAAGCCCCTAAACCCCTAAACCCCTACACCCTAACCTATATATATATATGTATATATATATATACCCTAAACCCTAAACCCTAATCCCTAGCTTCCCGGGCTTTGCGGAAGTTGCGTCAACTTGAGGCTGACGCGCCTGCTGTCGGTGCATCTCGGGGGCAACTCCCGCACGGGCCTCTTAGCCCCAGTCTCAGAGGGTTTAGGGTTTAGGGTTTAGGGTTTAGGGTTTAGGGTTTAGGGTTTAGGGTTTAGGGTTTAGGGTTTAGTGTTCAGGGCTTAGGCTTCTTGAAGGGTTCCACAGTTGCAGGGCTTTAGGGTTTAGGGCTTGAAGGGTTGGGTTCCACAGCTCTAGGCTTCCGCAGTTCTAGGGTTCTAGAGGGCTTCAGGGCTTTAAAATATGCTTTCGGGTTTGAGGTTCAGGGTTTAGGAGGATTTTGGGCAGGGATGGGGTGTTCGGGTGACTCTGGGGCATTGTCGGTTGAGTGCTCCGAGTTTTTGGACGAACTTTTCGGCAGATTTAGGAATCAGGGTGGTTTTTTTGTTGGCAGCTTTGGGTTCTCCATTGGTGGTTGGGGTATAGGGTTTAGGGATTGGGGTTTGGGGTTTAGGGTTTAGGGTTTCAAGGTTCAAGGTTGGGTTCCTAGAGCTTGGGGTTTGGATGGGGTTGAGAAAGGTTCCGGATAATGTTTTTTTTTTTTTCGAGCTTGATGCTTTGTTTCGTGGTTTAGGGGCTGCTTCTTTGTGTAAATCATGGTCTTTCTTCGGGTATTGCGGAAGAAGGCTCCGTGTTGCAATATGGACCACCCTAAACCATGAACCCTGACCCCTAAACCCTAAGCCCTAACCCTAAACCCTAACCCTAAACCCGAAACCCTAAACCCTAAACCCGAAACCCTAAACCCTAAACCCTAACCCTAAAAAAGCCCTAAACCCTAACACATGCAACTCCATCAGCCCACGTCTTCGTCGGTTAAGGTGTCCTCCGGGGTTTAGGGTTTAGGGTTTAGGGTTCCAGGGTTCAGGATTTTGGAGTACTATACTTTAATATGGTTTTTTGGCTTCTGGGTTCCTGTTGCAGCTACTCATGCCTAAGAAGTGTATGTTTGATTTTCCAGCGTCTGTTTAGGGTTTAGGGTTTAGGGTTTAGGGTTTAGGGTTTAGGGTTTAGGGTTTAGGGTTTAGGGTTTAGGGTTTAGGCCCCAAACCCCAACCCTAAACCCTAAACCCTATGGTTAGCTTGGCTCATGCCTCGCTGTTGGCATATGCGCTGCACATGGTTTTTCCAAGAAGAGGGCCCCAAAACCTAGTAGAATCCCCTTGAAAAAGGGTTTAGGGTTTAGGGCTTAGGGTTTCGGGTTTAGGGTTACAAGCAACCCCCAATTGTCGGAAACCCCACAGAGGTCACAGGGAATAGGGGCAACGTTGAATGGTTTGGTTCGGGGTTTACAGGGTTTGATTCAGGGTTAGGGGCTTATGGTGTTTAAGGTTTGTGGGCTCAGGCTTCAAAGAGTTCAGGATTATACAAGGCCAGAGTGGCTCCGGCTGCTTCAGCACGACACAGGAAGCAAACATAAACTCAGGGTTTAGGGTTTAGGGTTTAGGGTTTTGGGTGTATAGGGTTGGCCTGAAATGAGGTCACTTTGACGCCCGCCGCCGATGCCGTTGAGCAAAGCCTCACGACGCTGCGATTCGCGCAGAAGGCCCTGGCCTTGAGATCCTGAACCCCAAACCCTAAGGTTTAGGGTTTAGGGTTTAGGGTTTAGGGTTTCAGGGTTTTGGGTTTTGGGTTTTAGGGTTTTGGCTTAGGGTTTAGGGTTGAGGGTTAGGGTTCAGAGTTCAGGGTTTAGGGTTTTTCCCCTTGTTGGGTTTAAGAAGATTATAATCAGGAATGTTTGTCAGAGGGTTCTCAGGGCCATCGTAAACCCCTATGTATAACCCCCCGGGCACTCAAGTACTTTAGCAAGTGAGTTGAGACGACTGGTGTGTAAGAGGTCTTGGCGCTCATACATATGGCCCTTAATCAATCCCCTTCTGCGTAGCCTAGAGCCAAACCCTGAAGAAACATGAGCCTTCCAGCCTAAACTCCATCAACCCTAAACCCTAAACCATGACTTAGGACCCTTGATCATCCTCCCCACTGAGACGTACTAACAATCAGAAAGGGTTAGAGGGTTTGTGTCGCCTTGTGATAGTTTTCGTGGCAAGTCTGTCTAACTAAAGAAGGATGGTTTGGGCTTTAAGGCTTCATTCGGGTTTAGGGTTTCGGGTTTAGGGGGGCCCTAGCCATATACCATACACGTATAGCGCCCCTCATGCCATTACGGAACATCATGCAGCATGGTGTTCAAATACCAACAACTACAACCTCAGAAGATAGATAATATATGAGCTGCTGCAGGTTCGTCATTCGTCTTCAATTTCTGTGGGTTGCAATGAGATGAGATGGTGGTGCTCCAGTGTAGGTGGATCATGCAGTTCTAAGTGTTGTCGAGCTCCTGCGCGTACCCGTGGGAGACGATCGATTAGGATACCCGGTGCCTTCAAGTAGTACCCTGAACTTTAAACCCCAACAGGTCTCACGCCCGAAAAGCCCCAAAACCGTGAAACCTAACTATCAAACCCTACGGCCAAACGTCTGAACCCTAATCCCTGAAGCCCTACCCTAAACCCTAAACCCTGAAGCCCTACACCCCCATAGACCCTAAACCCTCGACCCCTAGGCCCTTGCAACCCTTCGAGAAGCCACGTGGGCTCATAACTCACAACATTTGGGATGTTCCCCCTCATACTAGCAGTCCTTAATGGAAGTATAGTACCCCTTATTACAACCCGTATTAGGGACTGTTGTTTTGTTTCAGGAAGAACATCCCAACTCATAACCTCTTTCAGCCCGAATCCTGAGCCCTAAAGTTCCGCGATGACATTTTAGGGTTTAGGGTTTAGGGATGGAGGCTCGCAGGTCAGGGACCATATAAGCCCTTCATTTTCGACCTATGTAAACCACAATCCCTGAACCCTACACCCTTCTGAGGGTTTAGGGTTCAGGGTTGAGGGTTAGGTTTAGGGTTAAGACCTTTAAGAATCCTCAACATTTCTACAGCTCAAGTCCGAAACCCTTGGATCCTAAGCCCGTCAAGCCCTGAAACCCCAAAACCCGTAAAACCCTAAACCCTACACCCTTCAAACTTAGTAACCCATTAGAAGTGTAGTTTTAACCCACATAGAAGCCACTTAAGTACCCTAATAAGGTTAAAATTGATCATTGAGTTGCCAAGTACCATGAACCTCCAAGTACCCCCCCTAGCCCTAAACCCTCAACCCTGAACCCTTAAAACCCTCAACCCTTAACCCTTAAAACCCTTAACCCTTAAAACCCTAAACCCTGGGCCCTGGACCCTGAACCCTTAAAGCCCTAAACCAAACCCACCGACAGGCTGCGGAGGTTCGCTGCGTAGCCAAGCCAGTCCTTGTCAGCAAGGCGCAGGGGGCATTCGGGGTTTAGGCGGCTTAGGGCCGTATATGGTCAGTTCTTAAGTAAACCTAAGCCCTCAACCCTAAACCCTAAACCCAGTCAGGTTCAGGGTTTGAAGGCGTTAGGGGTGTAGGTTCAGAACTTCAGGGGTTTTTAGGGCTCAGGGTTCCGGATTTGAGTGCAAGGAAGTGAGAGTACCTAGTTTTTCGCAGTTTTTGCCCTTGACGGATTTATCGGCAATCCCGGTAAATAAAGGTAGGATTTGGGTTCCAAAGATAGTTGTTTGAGAGTCCCTTATGAGCTTCTTCTGTGCGTGAAAACTCTTTATGGGTACACGAATCGTTTGGGAGGGAATGCCCGGAAGACTTATCTGCGGATCCCACCTGACACCCCCAAACAGTCGCGAGGAAGCCGGATAGCCCTGCCAACTTGTCTTTAAACCCTAAACTCCCGCAAGCCCTAATAGCCCCAATAAACCCCCAGACACCCCGAAACGTAAAGCCCTAAACCCCAAACCCCTAAACCCTAAACCTCAAACCCTAAACCCTAAACCCCAAACCCCAAACCCTAAACCCTAAACCCTAAACCCTAAACACCCTTAGCCCTACGAACTCTGAGGTTGGAACCATGGGCCCTTTGTATGGTTACCCTTGTCTAAAGGGAGTTAAAGGGATCCGAAGCACGGGATTTATTGTGCATAGTGTATATAAGGGTTGTATCACAGGGGACCCAAATTAAGGGCCCATACTTCGGATCGCCTATCAAAGGCAATCCCCAAACCCTAAACCCTAAACCGTAGACCCACAAGCCCATACCCGAAAGAAGACTTCAGGAGCAGTCGCTCATCGTCAAGCAGCGTGAGATTATCGCGCAGCTTCACAACCAGGCCAGGGAGTTGGGCTCAGGATTTAGGGTTTAGGCTTAGGGTTAGGGTTTATAGTTTAGGGTTTCGGGTGCAGCAGGGTTTAGGCTACAGAGTTTGATCCAATCCTGGGCCCTTCTAGGATAAGCTGTATATGAGGGCCCGTATTCTCGAGAAGGAAGGGACCCCGTTTTGGGAACCTACCACAATGTGCCACTGCTTGAGACGCTTGGGCCAATTTCATCCATGTCGCCTTTGGCCGATTTTGTCAGGTTCTGAGTAACCTAAGCCCTAAACCCTATGTAAATCCTTAACCACATACATATGTATACATATATATATATATATACAAGGCGTAGCACTGCCCTGAATCCTTTTTGTGTGGCTCCCTTAAAGGCACGTTCAAACAAGAAGGGCACCCTCTTGACTCTGCAGACTTACCGGCTTTATGTTCAACCATGAGAACATGACAGCGACAGGAGTTGGGAGCCTCTGCGCATGTGTATGTGTGTGTGTGTGCAAACCAATGGATCCGCACTGAAACCCAAACCTTAGGGTTTAGGGTACCCCGAAACCCAAAACCTTTGCTTCACCACGACAGGTGAAAAGCCTACAAGAAGAGGTCCACTGGCGCTCAGGGATTTGTGTTTGTTGGCATGGGTAGCTAGAAGTAGGGCTATAGGGCTATAAGTATGGCAGCTAGACTTATAACCCTCTTTAGGGCACTTGGTTTTCCTACTCATAACTACCCTGAACCTCAAGCTTGTATGAGTCTTACCAGCTGGTCTTGCAGCTGAAGGTTGTAGGACTTAGAGAGGTGTTTAGGGGTTAGGGGTTAGGGGTTTGGGTTTTGGGTTTAGGGTTTAGGGTTTAGGGTTTAGGTGCAAGCTAAGATGTCGTTGCATGTTGGCGGCCTTGCTTTTCAGAGGCCCAGTGAATTTGAAGACTTGCCCAAACAGCCCAATACCCCTCGAAAACGGAATATAGCTTAAATCATATCAAGGGCCTTAAACCTGCCAAAACAAGCATTTCACCTAGGCAAAACGCTAACGTTCAATAAAAATAGGGTACGGTTTCAACGGCGGCGGGATAATTAAGGGGTATTGGGCTCTCTGGGTGCAGAGTCCGAGAAGTTCCGCAAGGTAGTAGCTGCAGATAAGCCGCAGCATGTGGGGGCCTGAGCGCCAAAGCCAAGCACGTTCATACAGTTGGTCGAGCTGGAAAGAAGGCCCCGGAAAGAAGACCCCAGAGATCATAGATCCTTACACCCTCACTTGCGTAATGGTGTCTAAGCCTTTAACCTCAAGCCCAAACCTATGTTGGCCCCAAAACCCAACGACGCTAATCTCTGAATCCTACATTGGCCTAAAGCCCTAAACTCTAAATACCCTAAATACCCTAAACCCTAGCCCTAAACCCTAAACCCTAAACCCCCAAACGCCACGTGTCTCAACTGCGCAGGTGCAGCAGAGAGCGAGTCCCCAGTTGTCCGGCCGTCCCGTCGAGGACTCTTCGGGGTTGGCTTTGCAGGTTTAGGGTTCCTGGGTTTAGGGTTTAGGGGTTAGGGGAAGGGTTTAGGTTTAGGGTTTAGGGTTTAGGGCTACTGTAGGGGCCTTTGGGGGTTATTATGGTATAAGTACAAAGAGACCATAAGGGAATAAGAATATTGTAAGAAAATTATTCCGACCCCTATATTGCTCTCTCTCTCTCTCTCTCTCTCTCTCTCTCTCTCTGTCTTTTTGCTTGGGGGGGGGGGGGGGGGGGTAAGGGTTTAGGGAGTTTAGTGTTGGCCCTGAAAACCTAAACCCTTATCTGCAGACGTAGCGTTCAGAGCTTTCCGTTTTTTTTCAGGGCTTAGGTTGACGCTGCCAAGGAGTGCCCCGATATTGCCTCATTCTTTAGTGTTAGGATCCTTGACATCAGTCCTTTTTAGGCAAGAAAGGGGCACCCTTTTGGGTCTTAGGGTTTGGGGTTTAGGGTTTAGGGTTTAGGGTAGCACTCTTGGGAGACGTAGCCTTGGATTTTTGTATGTCCACAGGTACCGTATGCCCTGGTTACTACTTTAGGTTTCCCCTGTTCTTCGGGGTTACCTTTGAGTTCCGTGTGTGTGTGTGTGTGTGTGTGTGTGTGTGTGTGTGTGTGTGTGTGTGTGTGTGTGTGTGTGTGTGTGTGTGTGTGTGTGTGTGTGTGTGTGTGTGTGTGTGTGTGTGTGTGTGTGTGTGTGTGTGTGTGGTGTGTGTGTGTGTGTGTGTGTGTGTGTGTGTGTGTGTGTGTGTGTGTGTGTGTGTGTGTGTGTGTGTGTGTGTGTGTGTGTGTGTGTGTGTGTGTGTGTGTGTGTGTGTGTGTGTGTGTGTGTGTGTGTGTGTGTGTGTGATAATATGATTGTTACGTTCTCTGAAGGGGGGGAGGGGTTGTGAGTTAGGACCTACGACATGTTTTATGTCATTTTATGTCTATGTGTAGTTATATGAGCCCTTAATATGGTCCGTTACCTTCTTCAAAGGGTTCTGTTTTAGGGTATAAAGGGGGTATAGAAGGGGTCGCCCATCATTAAGGGACCATGTAACTACCCTAGGATTATTAAGGTTTAGGGTTTAGGGTTTAGGGTTTAGGGTTTAGGGTTTAGGGTTTAGGGTTTAGGGTTCAAGAGTGCAGGGCGTATTTGAGCTTAGTCCTGCAGGTGCGGCTGATCTTGACCCTAAGCCCTAAACCCCGAAACCCTGAACCCTAAATCCTAAACCCTAAACCCTAAACCTTAAACCCTAAACCCTAAACCCTAAACCCTAAACCCTAAACCCTAAACCCTACCGTCCGTGATTCCAGAATGGATTTTGTACTTCCATGGCCCTTCCAATCCTTGTGTGTCCCCCAAACTCAACCCCTTCTCAACCCCTTCGGGGTTTCAGGGGTTTAGGGTTTAGGGTTTGAGGGATGTTTTAGGATTTTTAGAATTTAGGTTTTAGGTGGGTTTAGGGTTTAGGGTTTAGGTTTTAGGTGGTTGGGGTTTTAGGGTGTAAGCCCGAACTCGCAGCTGTTTTTCAGCGGGGAGCCTATTGGACTGGCTTTTTTGTTCATCAATTTGCGTGCGCCAGTCCTTGAAGGACGCTCGGTGCGTTCGGCGGTTTTGGGGGTTTAGGGTTTAGGGTTTAGGGTTTAGGGTTTAGGGTTTAGGGTTTAGGGTTTAGGGTTGGCTCCTGAGCCACCATAAGGCATTCAAAGCTGGCCCAGGCTGCTCCGCTGAATGTGGGCCCTGATGTTCCTTGACGAATGCTGGATTTTCGTGGCTGCGGGCGGAATGATGCGGAATCCAGAGCCCTGAGCTCTAAGCCCAACTAATATTGGGGGGGTTATTCTAAATGATCTTTTCGGGTTTCCGATCGTAGCACGGTGCCCCGGAATTTGGTGGAAACAACTAAAGGGCCCCCAGCAAGTCACTTTAGTTTAGAATGCTGCCCATACAAACCTCAGGGTTTAGGGTGTAGGGTATTGGTGTAGGGCTTAGGGTTTAGGATTTCCGCCCTACGGGGGCTCTGGGGGGAAGGCTCAGGGACCCCTTACCCCCAAACCCTAAACCCTAAACCCTGAAAGCTAAACCCTCTCTTGCTTGGCAATCCTTAGGCTCCCCCGCCCCTCAAGGGCACCGTCACCTGGAGCCCCAGAAAACGATTGAAGCCTAAATCCTACGAGACTTATAGATCGTCCACTCTAATCCCTGTGCCCTCCTTCAACCCCAAACCCTAAACCCTGAACCCTGAACCCTAAACCCTAAACCCTAAACCCTAAACCCTAAACAAACCCCAACAACAAACACAGGACGACTTGGCCGCTGAGCGCCAGCAGTGCGCTGCGCAGCTACAGGCAGGAGAACCGGGGGGGGGGGGGGGGAGAGCAGTGACTTTCTTGGGTTAGGGTTTTGGGTTTTGGGTTTTGGGTTTAGAATTAGGGTTTACTTGGTAGCCCAGTGGTACCCTTTACCCCTTTCTTCTGTTATGCGTTCCCGGTTACTGGGCTACCAAGTTTTTTAGGGTTTAGGGTTTTGGGGGATTGTATTTGAAAGCTCCAGTCCTCTGATGTCCCTCTATAGACCTTAGAAGAAGGAGTCTGGAGTTTAGGGGCCCATTAGCTACCTACGTCCGCTCGTTCCCCATGAAGGACTCGTCTTTGTTTGGAGAAGCCCCCAAGTGCAAGGGGCAGAGTGTACCCTAAACCCTAAACCCTAAACCCTAAACCCTAAACCCACATTTTTGGGAGGTTCATGTGGTCCTTCCAGGAGCTTCCTTCCCGCCCGTCTTTGCCGAGGAATATGGCTAAGGCTGCCTCCCTGATTGAAAAACCGTCAACCTTACACCCTAAGCCCTAAACTCCTCAACCAAGTTACCCTCAACGGGTGTGGTGCCCTAGACCCTAAACCTTAAAAGCACTACGAAGCTCTCGTTCCGCGCAGCTGCCCTGTTCCATGGCCTATACAGAATTCCTGAAGTACCTTATGAGTAGCTCTCTTACGCAGCGATGCACGTCCGTCGTCAAGACGCAAGGCAAAGCAAAAGAATCGTGGCGAACATTCCCACATACCATAGAAACATACACGGCGCGCAATGGCCATGGAAGAGGGCCTGCTTTCACCCAGCAGCCGAACGGAAAAGTCGGACGCCGGCCCCTGGGAGTTCGTCGGAAACGTGGTCCCAGCGGGATGGCCTTGGTCCTTCTTTGAGCGACCTTGCTGAGCACTTGCAAGGTTTAGGGTTTAGGGTTTGGGGTTTAGGGGTTAGGGCATGACTCCCAAGAATCCACCTTTAACACCCCCCCCCCCCCACCAAAAAAAACTCAGCCGAGAAGGCAGAAGCCGCTGTCAACTGCAAGACCACGCCTATGGCTCTTTTGCAGCTGGCTTGGCTTACGAAACGTTTGTGCCATGTCTTTTATCGCCTTGTGTGTCGTGTACGTCCAGTCGATGTCTCTGATGGACAGCAAGACCCAGTGTACCTTCCGCGAGCCTATATCCCCCTTGGGAATTATTCTTCGTTTTTGTTTATAGAAAACCCAAGAGGATATTAGAAATATTATTTTTAATTAAGGTTCTAAGAGAAGTTTATATAAAACCCAAGAGGACATTAGAAATACTATTTTTCATGAAGGTTCTAAGGGGAGTAGAGGAGCAGCATGCGCAGTGCTTCGGCTTGAACTACCTGAACACTGCTGGCAGCCCTGATGAGTGCGAGGAAGTTTGCTGCAACATGGGCCCCGAGTTCCTTCGTAGCTGAATGAGTAGACTTTACACAACCCTAAACCCTAAACCCTAAACCCTGAACCCTAAACCCTAATCCCCTGTAGAATTGAAAGTGTACACTTTCTTGTGGCCTATGAACTCAATAACTAAGGTTCTGTGGCACCTGGCAGTTTGGATGGGATGAAGGTTGCTGGTTAGGACGCGCTGACAACACCTCCATGGACTGCGGTGGGGACTACTGGGATTTTGGGGGTTACCGAATCTGACGCCCAGTCGCACAAGCCGACAAGGGAGCTTT